TAAATTATGATCCTCAATAAATCAGCCTGGTGTTTAACCACTATCCTAGTAGCTATAGGTGACAAAGAATAGCTTGCAGGCAAGTGAATGGGGTGGTGGATGAGGACCTGAACACCCAGCATAGAAAACAAGAGGCCACCTAGAGAGGGGAGCCCCCCACCTCCATTCTCCCAAGTCCAGCACAGAAATGCGGCCATCTTTTGCCGGCTCTCAGCAGGCTAGAGAACAACTTTGCAGGCTAGTGACTTTTGCAAGGTTGTAATCGACAAGCATGTCTTCCATGACCATTGTGGTAGAATAACAGGGATTGTTGCCTTTTGGAAAATGTCAGTGATGGCCTTTTCTTTTGCCCTACAGTTGACTTCCCATCATCTGTACGAATCCAGTTGCTGATCAAGATGGCGGATGTTGAGTGAGTGTCCCTGGACCATAAAACCATCATCTCTGGCAGGCGGGGGTGGAGATAGCTGCTCTTGAGCAGTGACCCAGAATATTGCATACATTCCCCTTAGTGTTCAAAGCCCTAAACTCATTTTCCCCAAGCCCAGAACTCCGTTCCTTCCTTTCTTTTTAATAAAGTGTTTTAGGGTAAAATAGGCATAGCTCACTTAAACTTAAAGCACCAATGAACTGTTTTCCAGTTGTAAACTTAAGGGGTATTGTCAGAGCTGCCCTAGGTCCCAGCTCACAAAGGACCAACGCCAGTTCGTTGTTATATAAAACAGTCTTTATTGAAGCTCAGTTCCGCTTTCACAGCCGCGGCGCGCAGCTCTACGTCTCAAACTCTAGACCGCCGAAGCTCCGTCTGAATCTCCTCCCCCCAGACACCAGTTTAAGACTCTAGCCTTGCTCCACCTCTTCCTTTGCTCTCTCTTCTCCTCTGGGCCCGCCTGTCCGCTGGGGTCTCGCCTCTCCTAGACTCTTCTGACGCTGAGTCTCCTGAGTCCTCCCCCTCCCTCCGGCGGGCTTTAGGACCTGGTTCCCAATCCGGGTTTCCTGCTGTGCCGCGCGCCTGTACATTCGAACTTGGCGCGCGCGCCCAGCCGGCCACCTTCCTCCTGACCGTTACACTGCTCCTGTCACTGCTTCCCCCTTCGGGGAGGCTAGCTGCACCTGACTCTCCCTCCGTTCCCTCACTCTGCGATGGAGGCGTGGCCACCCTGACTCATCTTCTCTCCCTGCTGGAGGAGAAGCTGGCCCTGATACATGTGACTCTTCCCCCTCACTACGCTCTGGTGGAGGAGCTGGTCCTGCTCTCCCGCTGCTGCTTTGGGAGTCCCCGCTGGCCCCTTGCTTCTGGTGTGTCCCCCCTGGGACCCCCTTGCCATCGGCGCCCCCCTCTGGGAATCTTCTGATTCGCTGGAGAGACTCATGGAATCTCTCGGGCCACTTTCATACTCCCCTACGCTGCCCTCAGATTCTTCCCCTTCGCTCTCCATTTCCTCTCTCCCCTGTGCCTCTGCTCCTGAGCCCCTGACAGGTATATATAACCATGCAACATTAGCTGTGGACAGTTTCTGGAAGACAGGGATAAAGCTGCATTTGTTAAATATTTTCTCTGCCCCATGAGGGCTAAAACCCTGCATGCTCTCTTCCTCACTGTAATGAAAGCCAAGATTGCCTGGTCTGCTGGGTGGATGGCTCATATGGGGTACGAATGGGCAAGGTCCTGGGTGAGCTGCTATTAACAGGCTTGTCCTTAACCAGCTTCCCCTCCAAACAAAAGCTGCTTTAGCATCCACCTATTTTCTTGTACATCTTTCTGCTGCTTTAAAAATACAACTGACTGGTAGGAAGACTCATCCTCCATCCTCTCCTTTTCAGGCACCGCCTGGCTGCAGGGACAAGCGAGAAGATTCAGCTGGGAGCCCTTGTTGGTGCCTTCCAGGTCACCAGAGACCTGATCACAGCAGAGGCTTAGAAAAGCCCCTTTCTCTCCAGCTTCTCGTCTGCTGTCCGGTCTACAACTTCCGCTTCTGCAGCTCCAAAAGACAGAACTCCTGTTTGGCTGTGCATCGGCGTTTATGGTAGCTCTTTACTGAGCTCCCTCAGAATTTAGGGTCACCTTAAGGCAGGGGTGGGGAACCCCTACCCTGCAGGCCAGATTTAGCCTTGCAACACCATTCCTTGAAGCCATGCCCACTTGCCCCTCACCTGCCATCAAATGTGAGACAGGCACCCAAAGTGGCTACAAAGCAGCAGTCAGGAGCTTGAAGTGAGCTTCAGTTTCTTCTTCCCTGGAGCAAAGGCTGACTCCCACCTTCTCCCACCCCCCCTTTTTAGCAGCTGGTTTCCAGTGAAAACTTTCGCCAAGTAGGCAGGACAACCCCACCAGTCAATCATATGATGTCACAACAACATCAGGCGATTGACAGGTGGGTAGCCTCACCCACCTGCCACGGTTCATAAAACAGAAATGTGCTTTGGGGCAGAGGAGGGCGGTTATTCAACATGGTCTCCAGGTCTAGATTGGTGCAGCAAGGTACCATGCAGGAACAGAGGGTGAGCACCCTTGGCTTCCAGAGTGCTGCAAAAAGGAAAAAGCACATACCTGTGCCAGGAGCCGGTAGCTCCCTGGATGCTTCCAGACCACTTAATTGCCGTCAGCCCCAGCAAACAATCAGAAATAAGGGAAATCTGGGTCCAGTACCATATAGAGGGCCACAGGTTCCCCTAAGTTGCTTGAAAGCATCTCTTGAAAGATTCTTGAAGTGTTGCCTTCCTCCTATTGAAATGCAATAGTGGGTTTTTTTGTGTGTATTGTAATAAAGCCCAATTTTATTAGCACCTAGCCAAAGTGTCTTGGTTCAATACAGTTCTACATCCAGGGTCTTAAGTAACCTCACTTAGTTTTTCTGCCTGGCGATGCAAGGCCAAACATGCTGCTAGTTGTGTGAATTGCAGATAGCAGGCATGCTTTAACATACATCAATAGAAGCTGCAGGGAGGCTTGAGCAGCAGGAGAGATGCAATCCAGGCGCTGGGAGCCAAAGTCAGCTTGCCACCCACTGGCTTCTTGTGTGTTCCAGGAGCAGGATCCGCTCCACCATGTCGGCCCTCCAGATATTTAACAATGTCATCTTCTCCGTGCTAAACATGCTCCACTCTTCCAACCACTTCCTTATAGGACCTGATTTCTGGACTGGTCATCAGCCTCTAGCCACACTTTCTGTACTGTAGTTAGGCGTGGAAACCAATTGGCTTCATTTATTCTCCCTGCGACAATACGTTCACTAGAAATCTTCATAAATTAACTCTCTTTCAGTCCAACATTTATGTAGTGTGCAGGAGTGGGGAGAGACATTTCTATGAGACTAGCCTTAGAAGGTGGCTGCATTAAGGAGTGCAGCTTCCAGGTGAATGAGATCCGCTTTCGCCTGCAGCTCCTAAGCCAGCCACATACTTCCAACCAGTGTCCAGAACTCTGATCTCTTTGACAAGCGCTCTGCCTAACACATCACATACATAAAGAGGCTAGAAGAGGAGAAAGCCCATACCAATGCCTTAAAACGTCTTGCATCATTATAGTGTCTCAAACTGAAGCTTTTAACACCTCTGCATCTTTAGGGGGACCTGCCCCTTGCCCTTTCAAAATAATATTATCCAGGGCTAGGAGCAGCTGGCGCAAATTGTATAGCAGCAACAATAAACCTGTGGCCCTCAGAAGCTCCATCAGCCCTAAGTCCCACCGTTCCTCCAAGGAGCTCAAGCTAGTATAAACAGTTCTGCCTCTCCCTTTTATCCTCACAGCCGCCTTGTGAGGTACCCTGGGCTGAGAGATGGGTGATTAGAGCAGGGTCAGCCAGTAAGCTTGAGAACACAGGAAAAGACGGCTGGATCAGGCCATTGGCCCTTCTCGTCCAGCACCCTGTTCTCACAATGCCTAAGCAGATGCTTGTGGAGGCCATCATGGCTAGAAGCCATTGATAAGCCTTTGTGAATTTGTCTAATCCTCTTTCAAAGCCATCTGAGTTGCTGGCCATCACTGCCTCCATGGTTCAAGTACGTTTCACGACTGAGCAGAGATTTGAATCCTATCCCTTCTTCCAAACACAGCTTGAAATAATTTGTTCTGTAGTTCAGAGTCTTCTCACAGAACAGCCAGGGAATGATAGGAGTTGTAGACCAAGCCGCCTCCGGAGGGCCACAGTTTCCCCTGACCCTATTTATGCAAAATCTCTTCAACTGGATAGGTTGAACCTGGGATTTCTGCATGCAAAGTCTGTGCCCTAAGCCTTGATCTCCCATAAACTTTGACCAGTATCCATGCTGACTGGAGCTCACAAGACCTGAAGTCAACAACAGCTGCTGAGTCAGATGTTCCTCACCCCTCTGCTATTTCTCCCTCTTCCACACACTGAATTCACTCAAATTATTACTTCAACTTCCTGCATGATTCTGTTGAAACTAACATAAGGGAACCTCCTGCCACATCTCAACCTCAATTCTTTAGGGGGAGGGGCGGAATCTGCTCCAAAATGAACTATTAGCTTTGAAATACAGTGGTACCTCTGGTTAAGAACTTAATTCGTTCTGGAGGTCCATTCTTAACCTGAAACCGTTCTTAACCTGATGTACCACTTTAGCTAATGGGTCCTCCCGCTGCTGCTGCACGATTTCTGTTCTCATCCTGAGGTAAAGTTCTTAACCCGAGGTACTACTTCCGGGTTAGCGGAGTCTGTAACCTGAAGCATTTGTAACCCGAAGCGTTTGTAACCCGAGGTACCACTGTAGTCCTCTACACCCATAGCACCTGCGTTGAGGACATTCTTCCAAACCTGTTCCTCCCCATCCTAAACCAAGAGACATTCAAACCATCACTTTTGGTCCATAACAGGACAAAAAGGTTAATCTTCTCCCTCTAGGGTATAGCAGGACCCCCTGCCTCCTGGCTTCACCATTAATGTTGAAGGCAGTGGTCCAGATCCAAAGAACAGCAGCCAGATCCAGGCCTGAGATACCTTAGTCGGTAGCGCATGAGACTCTTAGTCTTAAGGGTCATGGGTTCAAGCACCATGTTGGGCAAACGATCCCTGCATTGCAAGGGGTCAAACTAGATGACCCCCCGTGGTCCCTTACAATTCCATGATTTGCAGACCAACACCGGCAGGCAACATTTCTTCCCCGGTGGCTCCCGTGTAAGGTTTCGGCTCCCGAAGTCCAAAAGGGAGCAGCTGCATTTAAATACGAAAGTCCCAGGGACTTGTACATCCTACAGGACTGCAGCAGTCAAATCTCTGTAGGGCTGACACACAAAAGAGCTTCTTCCTATAGCCCATCTGTGCTTGTCCAGATATAAAAAGTCACTTTAACCAAGTAAACCCACACAAAAGGAGCAGGGGGAAACCAGACCGTTTGGGCCTCCCTGCATCGCGAAACACCAAAGCTTATCGCACGAGCGATCGGCGAAGCCAGCCGCCCCCTCCGTCCAGCGGACTGCAGGCACTGCTCCGTCAAGCCACATCACAGCCTTACAAAGTCCTGTAGGTGAGGAAGTCCTTCATCTTCTTTGGGATGGGCAGCTTCAGCACCTGGTACGTCGTGAAGCAGCTGCGGAGGACCTTGCGGCATAAGTGCTTGAGGGAGGAGAGGGCCTGGGGAACCGTCCAAAACTGAGCGTGGCCATCTCTTGTTCTAGGACGAGAGGAAGGGATTGGGGAGGTGAAAGGAGGCTGCAGAAACTGTTCACTGATCAAAGAGGGGGTGCAAACATCGGGCCTGGTGATAGCAGGTTGTTGCTAAGTATGCATATTATTACAATCACCCGTTTTTCATAATCAATTCATTGTCTACCCTGCCCTTCCTCCCATAGGAGCCCAGGGTGGCAAACATCAACAAGCTAACACTGTGCAATGTAAATCGATCTGTAGAGCTAGGAAACATTAACAAAACGATGGGTGGGATCTGGGGAAAGCCCCCTTTCCCATGGCTACCAAAAGCCAGTCTTCCGCTGTTTGTTTTTGGAATGTAAGAAGTTGCTATATATGGGGGAATTTGGATCCATCTAGCTCAGTAACATCTGCATCTGTGGGTTCTCCTCGGCTGCATAAACTCATCCCTAGTGCGGCCCCCTACCCTAAAAAAAGTATTATTCGGAATAGCAGTTTGCGAGACCCACTGACACAAGAATATTCACATCATTCACAATGAATTCACGTTTGTTAAAAATCCAATTAAAACTATTTAATTCAACAAAACAGATTATCTTGATTAAGTGACACCAGCTCTTCAAAGTCTGCCAGCCACTTACATCCCCCTGCCGCCGCCCCCTTGCCTCTTAGCACCCCCACCACCTCTCCCCAGGAGGTGCAGCACCAATTTGGAGACCACTGGTTTACACTAGCTGGCAGCTGCTTTCTGAAGTTTCGGGGAAGGTTCTCTCCTAGCGGTACCTGGAAATGCCAGGAATTGAACTTAAGTCTTTCTCCATGCAAAGGTGATGTTCTGCCACTGGGCAAAGGCCATCCTGCCCTTCACTCTCCAAGCGTGAACACCAAGTCACATCTACGCCACACATTTACAACACATGGCTCCCTCTCAATGCATCCTGGGAACTGTAGTTTGTTCTGGGAGTGGGAGTCCTGTGGGGGCGAACTACAGTTCCCAGGATTCTTTTAGGGGCACAATGGCTGTTGAAGTGGTACAATAATGCAGAGGTGACTCGAGAAGTCTGGAACACAGGAAGGTGCCTTCGACTGAGTCAGACCATAGGCCCATCTCACTCAGTACTGCCAACACTGACTGGCAGCAACTCTGCAGAGTTTCAAGCAGCGGACATTTCCAGTCCTGTCTGGAGATGCCGGGGATTTAACCTGGGACAGAGATAGGCAGATGCCATACTACTGAGCTATGGCCCTCCTTGAAAATGTGCTTTAACGGGCAACTGCTACTCACTTCGCTCTAACCATGAGAGCTAGAAGCATGACTTCTTTCAAAGTGGAAGCTCCATCTTCCCAGGTCAGTCCATGCCAGTTTCTTGGACCCATGCCCAGTTGGAAGTTAGCTCAGTTGGCTAGAGTGTGGTGCTGACTAATGCCAATGTCGTGGGTTTGATCCCCCACCTGCGTATTTCTGCATTGCAGGGGGTCGGCCTACATGACCCTCAAGGTCCCTTCCAACTCTACAATTCTGCAATTTGGAAAAAGAAAGCTGCCCTTTGCCTTCCTGCCGAAGAACTTACCCTGTAGCAATGATCCCCCCGTGGGGGAAATAGGTGCAGCAGAGCCCATTCTTCACTGGGGCAAAGGCAACTGGGCTCCCCAGCTCCAAGGCCCAGATCCTCAGGAGCCTGGAAGAGAAGAGAGAGGAACCCTTATCTGGAAAACTAGTCCAAAGAACATCAGAAGAGGCCCGCTGGATAAGGCTGGCCTTTGGTACCACTGGCCATGACATCCTTCTGGACCGTCTAGAGGGGCTGGGAGCTGGGGGCACTGTCATATAGTGGTTCCGCTCCTTCCTCCTGGGACCGTGTCCAGAAGGTGGTGTTGGGTAATGAGTGTTCAGACCCCTGGGCTCTCACTTGTGGGGTGCCTCAGGGTTCCATCTTCTCCCCCATGCTTTTTAACACCTACATGAAGCCGCTGGGAGAGATCATCAGGGGGTTTGGGCTGTGTGTTCATCAATATGCGGATGGTACCCAGCTCTACCTCTCTTATCAAACAGTGAGGGCAGTGAAGGTCCTGTGTGAGTGTCTGGAGTCGGTTGGATGGCGGCTAACAGATTGAGGTTGAATCCTGACAAGACAGAAGTACTATTCTTGGGGGACAGAGGGGCTGGTGTGGAGGACGCCAGGTCCTGAATGGGGTAACTGTGCCCCTGAAGGACCAGGTGCACAGCCTGGAAGTCATTTTGGACTCACAGCTGTCCATGGAGGCACAGGTCAATTCTGTGTCCAGGGCAGCTGTCTATCAGCTCCATCTGGTATGCAGGCTGAGACCCTACCTGCCTGTAGACTGTCTCACCAGAGTGGTACATGCTCTAGTAATCTCCCGCTTGGACTACTGCAATGTACTCTATGTGGGGCTACCTTTGAAGGTGACTCGGAAACTGCAATTAATCCAGAATGTGGCAGCTAGACTAGTGACAGAGTGGCCGCCAAGACCATACAACACCAGTCCTGAAAGGCCTACATTGGCTCCCAGTACGTTTCCAAGCACAATTCAAAGTGTTGGTGCTGACCTTTAAAGCCCTAAACAGCCTCGGCCCAGTATACCTGAAGGAGCGTCTCCACCCCCATCGTTCTGCCCGGACACTGAGGTCCAGTGCCAAGGGCCTTCTGGCGGTTCCCGCACTGTGAGAAGTGAGGTTACAGGGAACCAGGCAGAGGGCCTTCTCAGTAGTGGCGCCTGCCCTGTGGAACGCCCTCCCACCAGATGTCAAGGAAATAAGCAACTATCTTACTTTTAGAAGACATCTGAAGGCAGCCCTGTTTAGGGAAGTTTTTAATGTTTAATCCTGTTTCATGTTTTTAATATTTGGTTGGGAGCTGCCCAGAGTGGCTAGGGAAACCCAGTCAGATGGGTGGGGTATAAATAATAAATTGTTGCTGCTGCTGTTGTTGTTGTTGTTGTTGTTGTTGTTGTTGTTGTTGTTGTTGTTGTTGTTGTTGTTGTTGTTGTTGTTTATAATCTGCGTCAGGGGTTGGGAACGACAGATAACTGGGGGCAGGCAACAGGGCAGACTATGGCTTTCATGGCATCCTCACGGGCTTCCCAGAGGCAACTTGTTAGCTATTGAGAGCATCAGAAAATCCTGGCTGTTTGGATCAGATCAAAGGCCAAGCAAGCATCCTCCTCACACAGCCGCCAGCCAGATGCCCGTGAGAAGCCCCCAAGCAGGACCCACGTGCCGCATCTCTCCCCACTTGCAGTTTCCAGCAACTGTTATTCAAAGGAATGCACTGCCTTCAACAACGGAAGGTAAAAGTTGGCCCCTGTGGGCTGTGGCCATTCTAGCACTGTGGCCACTGACCACTTTATCCTCCACGCAAGCCATTTCCACTCAGCGTTAGAAACTCAGGTATATAAGCTAAGCGCCAAATGGCTCCTTAAACCAAGGTTACAGTCGCCAAAATGGAATGCCTAGTTGCCATTTTGGGGCAAGACAGCTCTAAAGTCTTTTTTCTCAAAGGATGGACTGAATGGTGATTGATTCTCAGTTAAACATCTGGCTAGTTCAGATGACAACACTGAGCTAGGTTAAGAAGTTTGGGAACTGAAAGAAGGAAAGTCACTTGATCCAGGGACAGTCCACATATCTATCGGCCGATTCCAACCTCTCTCTTTTTTAATGGTAACATGGACCATTCATAATGTAAGAATGTTCTTCACAACTGTGAGCAGTCAACAGGTTGTTCCAATGCTCATGCACAGGCTGCACAGAAAAAGCATTTTGGTTCCTGAAATTCATCCTGATTGTGCAGGTAAAATATAATGGATAGAATTCTACAGGATGGGGTATTAGTGTGTAAAAACAGGCAAAATCCAATAATCCCCAGGCATGCACCCCCAGATGGTGATGTCAGAAGCCATCCTGGAGCCCAGGTGTCTTCACCTGGTTACAAATGGCCAATAGGTAAAGGTAAAGGTACCCCTGCCCGTACGGGCCAGTCATGTCTGACTCTAGGGTTGCGTGCTCATCTCGCTCAAGAGGCCGTGAGCCGGCGCCGTCTGAAGACACTTCCGGGTCACGTGGCCAGTGTGACGAAGCTGCAGCTGGCGAGCCAGCACCAGCGCAGCACATGGAAACGCCGTTTACCTTCCCGCTATAAAGCGGTACCTATTTATCTACTTGCACTTAAGAGTGCTTTCGAACTGCTAGGTGGGCAGGAGCTGGGACCGAACGACGGGAGCACACCCCACCGCGGGGATTCGAACCACCGACCATACGATCGGCAAGTCCTAGGCACTGAGGTTTTACCCACAGCGCCACCCGCGTCCCACAAATGGCCAATAGCCTGGGGCAAAATGCACCTGGATAATTTCAAACACTGTGTGCACTACCGCCAAGACACATTTTAACAAGGTATAGTGCCTCTCCCTTCTTTCAACCCTAACTCAAGCATCTTGGTTCTGACTTGAAGGCCCCCCATGCCAGGCAAAAATACCTGGCCATCACTAACAGCCATCATTTTGCATGAAGAGCGCACCATGAACAGGAAGGCAACAGAAACTCACCTGTCATCTGCCACCGTCGCCAGGTAGAGGCCTTCAGGTGAGAAGCAGGCCGATCGCAGGGAGCTGGCATGGAAGTCAGCGCCATGGTCCAGGGCCGGCTGCAGCGGAATGTGGCTGCAGAAGAAAGGAAAGGTTGGTCTGTTTCCCTCCAGAAGTCAGGAGAGATACCTTCAACCTAAAGGGGTCATTCTGTTACCCATCTTTGAAGGTGGCTATCCCAGAAGAAAGAAACTTAGAAGGGAAGATCCAGCATGAAACGGCTGAACTGCAGCTTATCAAAAAGGTCTGTTCAAGTCTGAATAGAAACCATGGTTTCCTGTGCTGCTACGGTTTACTCAGCAATACCAAGGTGGTTGTGTTATTGCCAGTTAGTGCTGCTGGGAAGCCTCATTTTGCGCACACTAAAGCTTTCAAATACAATGAATCGCCCATGGCAAAAGGTTTCTGCATTGCAGGGAGCTGGACTAGAAGTCCCTTGTGGTCCTTTGCAAGTCTACAATTCCCAAGATCCTAAGATTTCTTCTCAGTAGCTAAAAAGCTCCCCTTTCATTCTGGCTGGGCAGCTCAAGGACTTAGGGCACAGAGACTCTGTTGCAGAAACAGTCGAGGGTGTTTTGACACACCCGCCACAACCCCAGACCACCTCACTTCTCCCTGTACACCAAACATCAGCCTTAGCATTACCCTTCAGTCAGTCAAAACCGCATTCCCCTGGAGTAGAGTAGTGTTTTCGTCTCAAAACAGGGGTAGGACAGGCAACAAGTGCCAACCAAAACAACCACTTCCTTGGCAAAGCCAGAGGCCTGCACCCCTTCCGGCAACTGACTCCCTTACCAGAGGGATTTCAGCTGCTCCCCTGTGCAAGGATCCCAGAGGATCACATAGGTGTCGTACGAGGCAGTCGCAAGAAGCGCAGAGTCTGGGGAGAAGGCGCAGGACACGACGCAGCCCTGGTGGCCCTCCAGTTTCCTGAGGAGGCTGTAGGAATCCATACTCCATAGCAGGGCCTGGAAGGGAGGCAAAAGTCAGGACGCAACCACAGAAGCAGGGAATCTTTTTCCAAACAAGAGGGACACATTCCCTGCTGTTGCAACCTTCTGGGGGCCACATGCCGCGAGCAGGCGGGGCAAAGAGCAAAAGAGGGGGGAAATGTTTACACACACAACTACACATGCTCCTCCATCCACACAAGCAAGAGGCATTGTCAGATGAGTGGCACAGCCCAAGCAGGGTGAAACACTTTGAGGGCCTCTGTTTGGGAAGAATATTTGTGTTAGATATTAATAATACGTTACGGAGGAGTTTAAGATTTTCAGAGGTGCATATTCTTCTGAACTTTATACCTCCTGTATGGAAAGGGACGACAGGATAGCAAAAATAGGTTCTACATGCCCTAATGGTGATTAGAGACTGATACTGATGAACTGGAAGAACAAAGATACAATTCCCCTAAATCATTGGGTTGACAACATGACACTATTAGTGACATAGGAACTGATCACTTACAGATGCAGACTTCCTCTAGATAAGCATAATGCTATTTGGAACGAGTTTATATGGAATATAATAGGTAATGGATAAATATGAATATATGAATAACAGGACCATAAGATTAGACCAGGCATAGGCAAACTCGGCCCTCCAGATGTTTTGGGACTACAACTCCCATCATCCCTGACCACTGGTCCTGTTAGCTAGGGATGGCTCCTAAATATATATGTAACGAAGGCGCCAGGCGAGCCTCTCTGGGGAGAGCGTTCCTGCCTTTTCCTTCAGACTGGGAACTTGCAAGCGGCTTCAACACATTAAAACATCACATGGAGATGACAAAAATCTAAAAACATACTTGGGGAAAAGGAACTTAAACCCTAATCAGATTTTAAACGATTATTTAAAAAACCAAATCTATTGAAATACAGATAGTAAAAACAGCATAGCACAACTAAAATCACTTCAAAAACAAACAAACCAGACTGTTCTCAAAGGCCTGCCGGGATAAAACAGCCTACTGCCCAGTGTGGCCCCCAGAATGTGGTCTAGAAGGGAATGCGGTCCTCAGGCCGAAAAAGGACCCTCACCCCTGACCTTGAACTTAGATATTTTGCTGTTGTTTGCTTAGTACGGGGTATCTGATGGGGAATTTGTTGGAGTGCCTGTTTCTTTTTAAAATGGCCTGGTAAGAACACACCCCAGGTAGAGGTTGACTGCTGCTGCTGCTATGGGGGTCAGAGGGGCCACTCACTGTCTTCACCACCACTCAGGCAAGACCCACCGATTTCTCTCCAGCTGCAGAGCACAGCATCCGACCATCAGGGGAGGTGCAGCAGCAGTAGACCCAGCGCATGTGTCCAGACAGCACCTTCAGTTGTTTCCCTGGGAAAATTGAGAAAAGCATTAGCACGTTAAGAGTCATAAATCGTAGAGATCGAAGGGTCATCTATTGCATCTATATGCAGAAGACAAATCACACTGACTCCCACAAGCCAACGTAGAAAAAACAGATATGATCCAGAGGGGGCATGGCCTAGGGAGAGTTCCAGGGGCCAGACAGAGGGGCCTCGAGGGCCACGTTTGGCACTCCTAGCATAATCTGCTTTTCCCAATTTTTCTCAGGCAGGCTGAAGAGAAGCAGGAAAATGCAAAGGCGTTTAGCTTACAAAAAAATTAATAACCCAGAAGGCACCTCTGAAAATGTGATCTATATGCTCAATTGCCATGCTGCTAAGTTTCCTGCCAAACTGCCCTGGGCTGCGTACACAGCATACAATGAAAGCACATTCCGCTGCCCTGCCCAAAGAATTGTGGGAATTGTAGTTTAAGGGGGCTGAGAAGGGTGAACCACACTTCCCAGGATTCTTCGGGGCAAACCAATGTGGTTTAAATGTGCTTTACGCTGTATGCCCATTTCCCACACCCAGACAAAGGACCACATCGCTCACTCTTACCATTTTGACCCAGGTCCCAGACGCGCAGGGTTTTGTCACGCGAGGCAGAGATGAGGATTGAACGGCTGTCACCAGGCGCAAAGCTCAAGTCTCTCACCACGTCCTGATGTCCTGAGAGGTTGAACAGCAAACGCCCTGGAAGGAGCAGCAGACGGCAAGGCGTGATTATCACCACCCCAGAACCAGAACCATATTGTTCTAAAGGTAAGGTAAAGGAACCCCTGACCATTAGGTCCAGTCGTGACCGACTCTGGGGTTGTGGCACTCATCTCGCTTTACTGGCGCACGGAAACGCCGTTTACCTTCCCGCCAGAGTGGTACCTATTTATCTACTTGCACTTGATGTGCTTTCGAACTGCTAGGTTGGCTGGCAGGAGCAGAGACCGAACAACAGGAGCTCACCCCGTCGCGGGGATTCAAACCACCGACCTTCTGATCGGCAACCTCTAGGCTCTGTGGTTTAACCCACAGCGCCACCCGTGTCCCATTGTTCTAAAGAAGATGGGTCTTGATGGGCCTAAAGAGGATGTAATTCAGGCGTGGGGAACCTGCAGCTCTCCAGATGCTGCTGGAATACAACTCCCATCATCCCCACCCTTGGCCACGCTGGCAGGGACTGATGGGAACTGGAGTCTAGAAATACCAGGAGGGACATAGGTTCCACCACCCCTGATGCTCTCGTTTATTTATCAAAGCAGTTTACCACAAACATATGATTTATCCAGAGTTGATTCAGCTTCTCCTGCTTCAGAAGTTAGGGAGAAAGAGAGCTGCCCGTCATCAGCGTACTGGTGTACACCTTGTTCCAAAACTCCTAATGACCATTCCCAGCGCTTTCAGATATGTTAAATAACACTGGGGAGAGGAGAGGAGCCTGTGCCAGGGGGAGAGACACACATGAACCAATTTCCTTCACTCCCTCGCACTCACATTCAGACCTCACACTGGTAAGAATGGGCAGCAGCTTCAGCAGACATTGTGGGCTAAAGGGGAGTGATCGTAGACTCCTACAATTGCAGACTTGGAAGGGACACCAAGGGTCATCTAGTCCAACCCCCTCGATGCAAAGACCACCTTTGTTTTTTCCAGCAGAGAAGAACAGAGCCAGGTTACCTGTCTGCACCTCCCAGACTTTGATTTGCCCGTCATTCAGGCCAGTGGCGAGGACCAAACACGCAGGACTCGGCGCCCACAGGATGTGTTTCCTTGAACGGGAAGGCAGCCAGGAGCTGAAGGCCAAGCCCCAGACGATCTGCCCACACTCCAGCGTCTTCTCCTTGGCCCTGCCACGGCCCCTGGCCTCAGCTTTCGTGCACTCCGAAGCTTTGCAGTTCCTGTGGGGAGCAGGCAGGCAGGTAACCTAAGGCAGTACTGGTCTCTGTTCCCAAGGAGCTTACAAGTCTAGCATAGGCCCCGTCTGCACAATGGCGTTAGAGCTGCACTTTAAACAGTCACAGCTTCCCCCAAAGAATCCTGGGAAGTGTAATCCATTAAGAGGGGATGAGAGTTCTTAGGAGACCCGCATTCACCTCCCAGAGCTACAATTTCCAAAGTGGTTTAATGGGTGATCCCTCTTCCCAAGGAATTCTGGGAACAGTGCCAGACTGAGGGCGGTGCAGAGAAATTGCCCAGGGCACCAAACTGAGGGGGCACAAAATAATAATAAAAAGGTAAAGGGACCCCTGACCATTAGGTCCAGTCGTGGCCGACTCTGGGGTTGCGGCACTCATCTCACTTTATTGGCTGAGGAAGCCGGCGTACAGCTTCCGGGTCATGTGGCCAGCATGACTAAGCCACTTCTGGCAAACCAGAACAGCGCACGGAAACGCCGTTTACCTTCCCGCTGGAGCGGTACCTATTTATCTGCTTGCACTTTGACGTGCTTTCGAACTGCTAGGTTGGCAGGAGCAGGAACCAAGCAACGGAAGCTCACCCCGTCGCGGGGATTCGAACCACCAACCTTCTGATCGGCAAGTCCTAGGCTCTGTGGTTTAATGGGCGGTACAGGGAAATTGCCCAGGGCACCAAACTGAGGGGGCACAAAATAATAATAATAATAATAATAATAATAATAATAATAATAATAATAATACCACCTTTATTTATATAGGTACCTACTGAGAAGATCCATAAAAGAGCAACTGTACCAAAAGGGATTATTGTGAAAAGAATATAAAAATTGAGGGGAGGGCGGTGTTGCCAAATTTTGTCCTCGCTCAGGGCACCGTATTACCAATTCCACCCCTGCTGGGAACTGTAGCTGTGTGAGGAGAATAGGGTCTCCTAACAACTCTCAGTAACATAACCCACCCTAAGGTCCGAGGGCGGGTTTGAACAATTAAAGCACAATATTAAGAACAGTTTAAAAAACAACCGAACAGTTTAAAAAACAACACCACAGAAATCAAGTGGGTCCTAAAAATAAAAGAAGCCAGCACAAAGAGGCTTGCCTCCAGCATTCACCAAAGACTATATAATGAAGGGTGTGAGATGCACCTCTGTGAGGAAGGAGTTTCACAACTTAGGGCATGGGTAGGTAAACTAAGGCCTGGGGGCTGGATGAGGCCTAATCGCCTTCTCAATCGCCTTCTCTATTCCTACATGAGCAGAATGTGTGCTTTTATTTAAAATGCATCTCTGGGTTATTTGTGGGGCATTTGAGTTCGTTCATTTTCCCCCCTTCAAAATATAGTCCGGCCCCCTACAATGTCTGAGGGACAGTGGACCAACCCCCTGCTGAAAAAGTTTGCTGACCCCTGTGTTAGGGGCTGCCACAGAGAAGGCCCTCTCCCGGGGTTGCCAGCCCCATGAGCTTCAGGGGGGTGGGGGTGGAACAACCTAAAGTCCCTCTCTGCCTTTCTTAATGACGAGTCGTTTATGGCTTTAAGCACCTGAAACTGGGCCCTGACCTGAATAGGCAACCTTAACAGACTATACTTCCAGGATCTGGGGGGCATGGGGGGTGGGGCACGATTGTTTAAAGTGAAACAATGCTGCTTTAAATGTATAATGTAGACAGGGGCTTCACCTAGCATAGAAACAACAAACACTGGAGAGCCAAAAGTAGCTCCAGACACCCCACCCCACCCCACCCCCGCCCCGTCAAGGTGGCTACTCACTGCTGGGTTCCCTCCAAAGGCCATGGGAGCAGCTTGACAATGCAGTGGCCCTGAGACCAGGCAAACCACCTGCCGTCCGGGGAAAAGGCCACGCTCCACGTCTCGCAGCTGGCTTTCCAGTCATATTGCTGAGGCTGCCCTGGCTTCAGCTCGGCCAAAAGGATGGGCTCTCCTAAGGCATAAGACAGAAAGGGGTGGGGAGAGCTTCCATCATTACCTGCTGGACCCTGCAGGACCCTGAACGCTGTGTATGCGCTGGCTGGTAAGGAGAAGAGAGACGGGGGGGGGGGGCCAGCAAATCCATCTGAACGTCTCTAACTGGCAGCTCTTGAGGCCTCAGGACTGGGAAGGGGAGAGAAACGCCACCTGCGGATTATTGCCCTCCAACCCACTCTTTTTGGGGGGGGTATGGTTTTTGCTCTGTTGCTGCTGTGGGAAAGGGGTGGAGGGTCCTTGCTGTGGAGGCTTGTAGGCAACAACTCATACCACCACCCCAGGGTGAGAGCTGGATGGAATGGAGAGGGAGGGGAGAAAGATGCTGAGTTACTCGGGGGCCGCAAAGTAAGTTGCCACAGAGTGGGGCCCTCTTTGAGTGAGAGACAGAGAGGAAGTGGGCTGCCAAAATAAAATAAATGAATGAATGAATGAATGTGAAACACGGGGTAAAACTGTCATTAAAGCCACTGGTAGCTTCATCTGTTTGAATGCCCTGCTTGTTTTTAACCTAGGGATTTGGCTAAATTGGAAATATTAATTTTTGCTTCCCTTATGACAGAATTGTTATGTCATTTATTGGGCGTGTTTATGTGATTTTTGCATATTTATCGCATTTCTATCTCAACTTTTTCTTTTTTTAAGTTTTTATTTATACGTTTCAAGTTTATACATTTCATTAGTTTTACAATCGAATTAACATTTCAAATTCTGACTTCCTTCCCCCTCTTTCTGCATATCCAAATTTATTTAATTTGCTCATTTAATTATCTCCTTTAAATATGAAACTCTTATGAAACTGCTAATGTTTTCATCTATTTGCAATTTATCTGCAAATATTCAATAAACCATTTCCATTCTTTTATAAAAAGTTTGTTATTTTGATTTCTTATTCTTCCAGTAAGTTTTGCTACTTCTGCATATTCCATAAGTTTTTGTATCCATTCTTTCTTTGTTGGGCTATCTCAACTTTTTCTTCAAGGATCCAAAAAGGTGGTAACACATGGTTCTCCCCCTCCTCATTTAATCCTCACATCAACCCTGTGAAGTAGATTAAGCTGAGAGGGGATTTGAACCCACTTCTTCAAGGTCCTAGTCTAACCACTACATTGCACTGGCTGCTTTTCCTCTGTTTATTTTTATAATTTTGTTACCTGCTCTGGGATTGAAAACAGTGAAGAGCAGTTTATAAATTCTGCTGTTAATAATCATAAATGTTGGCTGTTCACTGTCCATTTCAAGACCTCCCAAATCCTGGAGAGGCTGAGGTGCTGCCAGTCAGTGTAGACAGCACTGTGCTTGATGGGGGCACTGGTCTCACTCTGTGTAAGGCAGGTTCCTATGGAGCAACTGTCCTTTCAGAAGTTCAAAATGCACCTTTCGCAGCTGAAGCATTTGACTCAATAAACAATTCACTTGAATTACATTTATATCCTCCCAGTTGCTCAAGGTGGTGTTCAGAGTTCTCCCCTCCCCATCCCGGGTGGCATGCTCAAGATCACCCAGGGCGGTTCCTGGATCTATGGGGATTTGAAACCTGGTCTCCCAGGTCCCAAGTCCGGCGCTCCATTACACTATACCAATTTGCGTTAGTTGCGCAGGTCTGAACGCTGCCCAGCTGATCTGACTTTGGACGGCTCCTCTGGAGACGCGCTCATTGGGTGCTTTTCGTACAGCGCGAATCTGGACATGCCTACTCAGAAGTAAGCCCCACTGCGTTAAAGGAACAGGACTGACTCCCGGGTAATACACCGGCGGCAGTGGGCAGTTATCCCTGGGCGTGAGAACGGAGATGCCACCAGGTCCCCATTTCTCGGCGGCGAAATGTTGGACGGGGCGGGGAGGGAGCCGCGGCTGCTTTTTCCTCTCACTTTCTCTTTCTCCCTTTCCCACCCCCACCCACCCACCAAAGCCGACCCCCCGGGGGCTGGGGCTTTCACAAAGGCGGCATAACACGCGTGCGATCGCCCGCCGAGCCCGCTCACCCTCCGCCGCTTCTCTCTCCGCCGCCGGCGGCTCCCGCAGCGGCCGAGGCTGTCCAGGCTCCCCCGGAGGCGCCTCCATCCGGACCGCATCGGAAGCGGCCGATCCCGGCGACAAGGTGGAGGTTTCCTCTTCCAGTTCCGACGGCCGTCACCAGTCACGTGACAACACCGCTCTGTGGGGAGGGGTGCGCGGGGGAGACATTCCTATCCAAGCGCGTGGGAGGGGTCGCCCTTTAGGTCCTCGATTGCCCCCCGCCGCCGGCGAGCCTTTCTTCTTTGCGCCCTGGGCGCACCACCCACTGAAAGACGAGGCGCGCCTGGACGGTCGGGGACTCTTTTATTATTGTGTTTTAATTGCTGTAACCCGCCCTGGGACACATATATACAGTACACAGATAGAGAGAGCGCGCGCAATTAACACATTTTAAGAGAGATGCGTTTCAGCTGATGGGCGGGCTCTCCTCGGGAAATTTACTCAGAATAAAAATGCTTTGCGTTGACGCGGAGTGCAGCCTCTCGCCTTCTCTCTCTGGCTGCAAGCGCACGGATCAGACTCGAGTTTAATGTGGCCGACTTCCAAGTCAATGAATGAGTAGCGCTGCAGGTTTCCATCTGCTTAAATCTGTGGGTATATTGGCCCCTCCAGAGGGCTGGCGCTTCCTGCAACATGTCATCACTGTAAAAACCTTGGACCAGTCATTGTCTCTTAGCCTAACAGGGTTCTTGTGGGGATGAAGAAGAAGTGAGGAAGGGGAGCCACTTGGGATTTCTTGGAGAAAAGGGTGACACATAAATGCAATGAACAATTGGGGAGACATCTGGAGAAAACTCCTGCCCACCTAGCAGCTCAAAAGCTCGTCAAAGTGCAAGTAGATAAATAGGTACCGCTCCAGCGGGAAGGTAAACGTCGTTTCCGTGTGCTGCTCTGGTTCGCCAGAAGCGGCTTAGTCATGCTGGTCACATGACCCGGAAGCTGTACGCCGGCTCCCTCGGCCAATAAAGCGAGATGAGCGCCGCAACCCCAGAGTCGGCCACGACTGGACCTAATGGTCAGGGGTCCCTTTACCTTATCCAGATCCAGGAAAAGAAAAGTCACATGACAACTGGCTGAGGGCTCTCAACGAGATATTAATGACGTGATTAGCACGGAGCTCAAGATGGTGCAGGTGTCTCTCCTCCCTGCTCTTGCAAAACCCCACCACAACCCTGTGAGGCATGTTAGGCTGAGAGGCAGTGACTGACCCAAGATCACCCAGTCCTAGTCCGACACTCTAACCCAGGGGTCAGCAAACTTTTTCAGCAGGGGGCCAGTCCATTGTCCCTCAGACCTTGTGGGGGGCCGGACTATATTTTTTTGGGGGGGGATGAACAAATTCCTATGCCCCACAAATAACCCAGAGATGCATTTTAAATAAAAGGACACATTCTACTCATGGAAAAAACGCTGATTCCTGGACCGTCCGCGGGCCAGATTTAGAAGGCGATTGGGCCGGATCCGGTCCCCGGGCCTTAGTTTGTCTACCCATGCTCTAACCGCTACACCACAAAATGATAAACTGCTGAAGGAAGCCACATTCAATCATGCACTCCAGAAAGCTATTTTGGGGTCTCTACAGACTGGTTTTGTGTATGGTCTTCAACATCTCATTGAGGTGGTAATGGTGCCTTAGAGCAGTGTTTCCCAACCTTTTTTGGGCAAAGGCACACTTGTTTCATGAAAAAAATCTCGAGGCACACCACCATGCCAGATGGGAAAAGGTCACTTTTTACTTATGTAAAAAAAAATAAAAAAATAGTAACAGCATAGAAGGTAATGGTTAGGCTAGCATCCCTCTTCCAAATATGCTAGGTTTTTATTTGCAGGGACTGTTCTACATGGGAAAGCATTCAGCACTGTCATTCTCCCATCTGCCATCTGAATTGGTACTATTCTGGGTCAACTTACTCTGCTGCATGTGTAGATGAAAATGGCACCAAGTGTGGGGGAGGGGGCAGAACAGGTTTCAGATACAGGATATTAAGCATACACGTACTTCAGATTGAACTGGTTGCTTGCTTTGCAAGTTTTCATTTCCCAAATGACTGCCTTGGCAAGCGCAATACCTACCAGGCTCAACGCCGGTCTCGCGCTGCCGCTTCCCGCGCTCTCAAGGACCCGGGAGGAGGAAGGCGTGAAGGGAATCCCGAAGGCGCGAAAACCTCGCGCATGCGCAGGCCTTCCGCCTGCGACAGCCCAGTAGGCCGGCCGAAGCGAGCGGCAATGGGATGTGGGAGCTCGCTCGCTCGCCGCCCCGCGTGTGCCTATGTGGGGCACGTTACAGCCCCGTGACGTCAGTGCCACGCAGGCAGCCAGGCAGGCAGACGGCGAGAGCCCCGCGCTGGGCGGCCTCTCCTCGCCGCCGCCGCCCCGCCTCTCGCCGCCCGACTCGCCCGCCTCCCTCCAGGCAACATCTCGCGGCACACCAGGCAACATCTCGCGGCACACTAGTGTGCCGCGGAACACCGGTTGGGAAACACTGCCTTAGAGGTTGATTGAGCCAGGATATTGTTGGGGGGGGGGTTGTTGTTGGAGGAGGGTTGTGGCTGTTGGCTTTTTCTACCTTTGTTTTAGATTTTGTTGTGATTTATGTGGAAATTAATCAGTTTGGTTTCAGATTTTTTAAATGTTTAATTTATTGTTTATGACTACTTTTGTCCTGAAGTAGTTGTGTATTTTTCCCATGTTGTAAGCTGCCTTGAGCATGGTTTGAACTGTGCAAAGCAGCATACCAATTAAATGATGCATGTATGGTACAGGACTGTCCACATATCATTCAGCTTCATTAGGTCTTCTGCGATGCTTCCTCACATTCCCAAATTCTTGCTGCCTGGAGGGGCACTTTTACGCTATAGTGCCACAAAATGGGGACACAGAAAAACCCAGCTTGCAGTTGAAAAAGTTACAGCTGGAAGTTGCAGAGTCTGCATTGACTGCAAAGCAAATATGACCATCCCAGAACTTTTGCAGGTGCAGATAACACCAATGTTCACGTTCTTACGTCATTAGATAGCAAACCAGGAATAAACTACCCTGGCTATGCAAAATATGGGGACGGATATCTCTTATTTAAGTTAAAACATGTACAAACACATCGGATGCAAAATACACATTTTTATTCCGTAAGTAAAAGATCACCTCCACAGTTAGGTTCTCCAGAAGAAAAATCTGTGTTTCTACAACTCTTTGGAATTGAGTTTGAGACCAGCTGTTGCCTCCAGGTAACAATTATTTATTAAGCGAGCAGCTTACCAAACCCCACAGCCCAAGCCAGCCTGTGGAACACACAAGTACCTGGATGGGCTGGAAAATTGATTTTGGAAGGGGGCATAGTCTACTCAAACAGGCCCCACCAAAATGAGTGTCAGCTGATCTGTACTCCTAGATGGCTCCCATTTGCTTCAGTTGTGCTTACTCAGGAAACCGTCCTGGAGGACTGCAGCTACCATGAACTGGCGACATCATTGGGGGGGTTTAACCCATCTGCAGAATGGGCTTATGCAGCAATAGGGCACAATATTTATTTCATATTAACTACATTCAGTGTTTTATCGGGTAAGGCCTCCACTGGCATAACCCAGATTCACAACATCCCCAAATTTTGTCTGAAAGACATAAATAATATTCCCATCTAGTGTTTTTAGACCAAGGCATCTAATGCTTTAGGATCTTAGGATTCTACAAAGGAGATCTGCGAATCCTACAGACTTAATCCTTCCTCATAGGGCTTGTTTTATTGTACCACTCAGCAGCTCACAGCAGCCTGGTACCTTTTCAGGTTTACATTGCCCCTAAACTTGAAATTCATTTACTGCTGACAACCCCACACAGGAGGCAGCCTTATGCAGAATCATGCCTAAATAGACCAGCAATGGCTCTCCAGGATTTCGGCCAAGGATTCTCTCTTAGCTACATGGAGATGCTGTTTGGGATTGAGCCGGGGACCTGCTGCATGCTCTTCCGCTGAGCTACATCTCTTTCTCTAAAAGACACAGGAAAACAGTCACTTGTCCATCCAGCTCAGTTTTGCCGACACTGACTGGCAGCTCTCCAGACAGGGAGTCTTATTCCAGTCCCAACTGGAGATGCCAGGGACTGAACCAGGGACCTCCTGCATGCAAGGCAGATCCTCTAGTCCCTGAGCTACAAGCCCTTCCCAAAAGAGAATCCCATAGGGGTTAAGAGGGGTACATTCAGCTTGCTTAAGGCCACAGAGGAAGCATCGTTGTGCCAGCTGCCTCCACTTTGCTGTAAATACGCAAGCCAATGAATCACAGAATTGTAGAGCTCAAAGGGACCTCAAGGCTCATCTATTCCAACCCCCTGCAATGCAAGAATCCTGCCCATAGTCATGGACAAGGATCAGAAGAACCCAATTAATTTTCATGCCAAGCTGGGCAAACGGAACTGGGTTCAAGACAACCCCCTCCCTCCAGCCCCTTCAAGCTGCCCTGGAGGATCTCTTGCCCAGCGAAGCTCCTTCCTAACACAGCCTGGATCTTTCCATCTTGCTCCTAAGGAAGGAAACTGCCCTGCTCCTGCCCCCCTGCACATTTCCTGTATCGCTGCCATGAAGTTTCAAGCTCAGTCTTTTTTTTTCTTTAAAGGACGACAGAGGGAGGAAGAAAGAGGAGGCGGGAGAATTATCAAAAATGTGGAAGGGCATGATCAAGACGGGATGAAGAAGGCCTCTGAGAATGATCTGGCTGCCAAGTGAACTCCTTCCTTCTCCCCGGTCAGGTTCAGAGCAGAGTTACATTGCGGTGAAGCTTTGGTTCCTAGCACACACGGAAAGGCAACGATGAAGAGAGCTCCCTCTACATTTTGGACCTGGTTTCACTGTTGGTGTCCTCCAGGGAACTTTCACTAGGCAAGTCTGCCTGGGGGCCTGAAACAAAGCACAAGGGAGTGAAACTTGCACCAGCACATCACCTTCAGCTCTTGCCCCAACTTCCTGTTTTAATGGCTGGGTTGTTTTCATAGGATCAGTTTACTGCATGCTGGCTTTTTTTAAAAAAATAAGTAAATTTAATTTAGATTCCATAAAGTAAACCAAAACACCATGAAAGAAATAATCACCCCATTACAACAAGTTGAAAGCAGCACAAACATTATCGTTAGGCTTACTGTACTACAAAACGTTACAAAAAATGGCCATTTCCCCCAAAAACCTATTAGGTTATATCAGTGGTTTTCAGCCAGTGTGCTGTGGCACCCTGGGGTGCCTTGAATGATGGTCATGGGTGCCATGGGCAACACTGGTTTCTGTCCCTCTTTCCTTCCCTCCCTCCTCTGATGCCCTCTCAAGTCTCTGCCTCCCAAAGGCTTGCACAGCCGTTTGTTGCAGCAGCCCTGGCTACAAGCTCCATAGGTGAATGGTGCTTCTGGGGCTGGCCAGGGGGTGCTGGTTGCCAGGATCTGAGGCGGCCTCAGAATAAGCAAGCAAGTGGGTGAGGGAGCCCAGGCAGCCAGTCCACTAACCCTTGCTGTTGGCAATGGACGGGCAAGTGGGAGGCCAGGCACTGGCCTTTCTTGTGCTTGCTGTGTGCAAGGCCTGCCTGGGAGCTGAGTACCTGGTGCTGAAGGAGAGCCTTTCCACCATGTTGACCTGGCAGCACCACTGTTGCCACTGCTGCCTCCCAAGGTAAAGTGCTGGCCTCATGTTCACCTTTGACCTGTCTCCATTGGACCATTAAGGCTGGGGGCATCCTCTTCCCAGACCCATGTGGGGCAGCATGAGGAGGCACCTCTCTTTGGGGCGGGGGGGGGGACAGCTCGGAGACCAGGGGTGGCAGCAAGAGCCGCCCGGAGGACTCCCAAGGAGAGGGGAGAGGGGAGGAGCCTGAGGGAATGCTCCACAAGGGAAGGTGTTCGGAAAAGGGTGAGAGGCTGCCAGCTCTGCAGGCAAGGGGTGACATAACTGGGCTCCTGAGCCCCACAGGGGTGTCACAGAAAGATTGTGGTTGGTCAAGGGAGCCGTGGCCTCAAAAAGGTTGAAAACCTCTGGGTTATATGTATTCTTTTATAATTAAGTTAACTTAATTAAGTTAATCTTAATTTAAAAAAACTAAGATCATGGCCACTGGGCCCATCACCTCCTGGCAAATAGAAGGGGAAGAAATGGAGGCAGTGAGAGATTTTACTTTCTTGGGCTCCATGATCACTGCAGATGGCGACAGCAGCCACGAAATTAAAAGACGCCTGCTTCTTGGGAGAAAAGCAATGACAAACCTAGACAGCATCTTAAAAATCAGAGATATCACCTTGCCGATAAAGGTCTGTATAGTTAAAGCTATGGTTTTCCCAGTAGTGATGTATGGAAGTGAGAGCTGGACCATAAAGAAGGCTGATTGCTGAAGAATTGATGCTTTTGAATTATGGTGCTGGAGGAGACTCTTGAGAGTCCCATGGACTGCAAGAAGATCAAACCTATCCATTCTTAATGAAATCAGCCCTGAGTGCTCACTGGAAGGACAGATCCTGAAGCTGAGGCTCCAATACTTTGGCCACCTCATGAGAAGAGAAGACTCCCTGGAAAAGACCCTGATGTTGGGAAAGATGGAGGGCACAAGGAGAAGGGGACAACAGAGGACGAGATGGTTGGACGGTGTTCTCAAAGCTACCAACATGAGTTTGACCAAACTGCAGGAGGCAGTGGAAGACAGGAGTGCCTGGTGTGGTCTGGTCCATGGGGTCACGAAGAGTCGGACACGACTAAACGACTAAACAACAACAATCTTTGCTACTATAGACCTTTATTCCCCCAAACCATTTACGTACAGTAGAAGATAAACTTTTCTCCCTCCAATTTTTAGCTATCATGCTCTTTGCAACCACAATAAGGTTGATTGCTATTTCTCGATCCTTTTCCAGAGTCACAGCATCGCTGTAAGTTTTACTGCATGTTTTAATTTTGATCCGGAATACTACTAGAGGCAGCGATGGCAAAAACAGCACATAGCAGCCCACTAAAGGCATGACTCAGGCTGTGAAGGTTCGCAGTTACTTCAGCAGGTCTACCACCCTCATAACTGTGAACCATGGATCTGAAGAGATTGTTAATAAACAGAGGCTTTTGGTTACAGATTTCTGAGAGCTTCAGGGAACTGCACTGGAATTCTCAAGCCATCATGCACTGGGGTGGCCATGCCTCCCTTGTAATGCTATTTTGGGGGCGGTAAACTATTCCTAAATATATGGGAAGACTTTCTCTCATACCCTCCAATATTTCTCTGGTGAAAATAGGGACGTCCCATCCCATAATGATAAATTTACTATTTATACCCCACACATTTTTACTGGGTTGCACCAGCCACTCTGAGCAGCTTCCATTTGGTTATACTATTAGAAATACAAAGACAGGTAATTATGAAATAATTGATTGTATTTGGACCAGTGGCGTAGCGTGGGGGGTGCCAGGGGTGCCGGCCGCACCGGGCGCAACATTTTGGGGGCGCGTTTGGCCGGCCCCCCTCGAGGAAGCGGGAACCTCTCCAAGGCGCAGCGCGCCGTCGGTGGAGGAAAAGAGCCTCGCAGCAGCAGCAGCAAAGCCGGGAGGAGGAGGAGGTGGAGCGAGCCTGCTAATTGCTTGCTGGGAATTAAGCGGCTCAAAGGCAAAGGAAAAGAGGTGGAGCCGCTGGCCCGGCCGGGAGGAAGCTGGAGAGAGCAGCGCGCCATGCCCACGTGCAGGCTGAGCTCCGTGTGGCGGGGGCGGAGGGAGGCGCTCGCTCTTTCCAAAGAAGGACCCGGCTACTGGATCAAGGCCACAAGGGCCCATGTAGAGTGAGTGGCCAAGCAGACGCGTCAATGAGAAGCACTCAAAGCAGGACCGGGGCACAAGAGCGCTCTCCCTTCCTGCTGTTTCCAGGGGGTGGAAGCGTCGCTGCCTCGAGGGCTTCCGAGATACCCTGGGGTGAAGTCCCGCTTCACCTTCTTGGGAGTCCCTCCAGTGGCGTAGCGTGGGGGGGTGCAGGGGGGGCCGGGCGCAACATCTGGGGGTTAGGGGGCGCAAATCCACGGGTTAGGGGGCGCAAATTACTTGCCTTGCCCCGGGTGCTGACAACCCACGCTACGCCACTGATTTGGACAACCTTTCTGCTGTACTTTATTGGAAGGAGAAAAACAATCATTTCCTTAATAACAATTTAAACAATTTATTTAACTAAAACAATAACATTATAGCATATGTATCCATGTTTGTTAACTGATATAGTTAAACGTGTGTTTTTTTTAATAAATAAAAAACACCTTAGACTGGGTTTTAGCACACATGAAAAACTTAAAATAAATCCTTATTTCCTGATGAATAGCCTTTGGACTATAATGTAACTTAAATAGAAAACTATCTTTAGAAAGAGTATTCTTCCAAAAGCATTTTATTTTAAAAATCCGATTTAAATAAATAAATAAAATTCGTTTTAAATCAAAATAATCCGATTTCAATTTTTAAAATCTGATTTTTTAAAAAAATAATCATTGATTGTTATCCACCCTGGTTTAAAACCATTTATATATCCCATTACACAGCCCCTCCCCGGCTGCACCTCTGAGACCCTAATGATCATTTTGCTACAGGGTTCCAACAAGCTTGACACAGAGCAAGTGGCAAAGTTTTTGATTATAGCTGTGCTTATTAGACCTCTTAGGATTGCCGTGTGTGTGTGTGTGTGTTGAATTGATTTCTCAGCAGAGGCAGGTGTTGTCAATTGGGCCTTTTAATTAGGAACACGTGATTGGGCTGGCTGGTTGCCAGATCCCCCTCCCAGTTACTATAAATATCTTGTGAGTTTAACCTGCCTGGCTGAACACCACCTGTGTGACCTGCCACTCAATTTTTTTCCATTTTACCTGTTTGGTATTTTAATCCCGAAGAAGGTAAATGAAAGCCTGCCATCTCTTTTAACCAGTTGGTGAATTTGGACAAGATATACTGTATGTGTGTGCGCGCATACACACATATATACATACACACATGCATGTGCTTCCCTGTATGGGAAGACAGGCTCTGGCAGATTGAGCGTGAGAGACCAATAGTGGGTCCAGTGGTCCAGAAGGTGGTTTCTGCACGTGCCATAGAGGGAAGTGAGGGGCAGACGGGGCTCGTCAACTTAGGAAGCGAGCCCATCTAGGAGAAGGAAGACACTTGATTCTAAACCTCCGCTGCCTTGCGGGACAGCTTTGGGAGAAGAAAAGGCTAAAGAGTAAACCCTACAGAAATCTGGAGCAGAGTCCCTAAGACGGTTGGATGGCGTCTTGTACGCCTCCTTCCAGCAACTCCTGCAGCCAAGCTCTGCTTTCCTTTGGACCACATCAGCGAGACCAAGACCTTCTTGCGCCCCGGGGTGGTCACTTTGGTGCTGCTAACACAGCGGTTTGACTTCACCCCCCGAGGGGCACCCCTTAGACTCTCGAGGCAGACAGATGCCTAGAGACAGACGGATTGCTTATAGTCTAGAATTCTAATTCTGTGGGTTTTTAGCTGCATTACTGTGCATTTTTATTAATGTTATCTACCGGGCATAATTGTCAATCGCTATAAAATGGTCTGCTAATAAAGAAATTAAGCAAAGGTTCACAGCTTACTTTGGTGAGGCGTGGCAGACCCTCCATTAGCCAGGGCAACCCCCTGATCTGAAGCGGGCTCCCCGGCTACTTCCGACAGCGGATCCTCTTCCTCCGAATCCATCAGCACAAGGATATCACTTGCATCTCGATTCCTACGGCGGTCAGAAGGACGGAAAGTTAAGAGAACGGTCAGCAGGACCTTTCCCTGCCGCTTCCTCCTCCTCTTCAACAGGCAAGGAATTTTACGCCCTCTCAACTGCATCTGCGGACAGGGTTTATCCCTCGCAGCAGAAGGAAATGGACTGGGGTCTGTGGCAGACCTTGAGGTTTCAGATTTCAACGGTGCCCTGTGCGATGCCAAAATTCGGCACCCCCCTGCCTCTCACCCTCCATTCTGCGTTATATTTGTGGTGGCCCCTATGCCACTCCGAGGCTCTGAACCCAGTGCGACCAAACCAGCTGCACTCCCCTAAATCCGCCTCTGCTGGGGTTTTTATGCAGCTATATTGCAACTTGGGGGTGGGGCTCTTGGTAGAGGTTTTTCCCCCATCAGCACAGATGCCTCTGTTGAATACAGTGGTACCTCGGGTAACATACGCTTCAGGTTACAGACTCCGCTAACCCAGAAATAGTACCTCAGGTTAAGAACTTTGCTTCAGGATGAGAACAGAAATTGTGCTCCAGCGGCGCGGCAGCAGCGGGAGGCCCCATTACCTAAAGTGGTGCTTCAGGTTAAGAACAGTTTCAGGTTAAGAACAGACCTCTGGAACGAATTAAGTACTTAACCCGAGGTACCCCTGTAATGCATTTTACGAGGTAGACCGGACCACTGAAAAAAGTCCATGTGTTAGTGGAAGCCACTGCAAGGACTCTGGCTAGCGCAATGGAGATTTCTCCCCTTCCCCAAGTCTTCTCTGACTCTGTTCTGGGAGAGGGTTGGGAGAACCCCCACACGATTCAATGGGTAGACCTGGCCACCAAAAAACACCCCAGGCATGTCAGCTGCCCACTTGTCCACCCAGCTCCACATCTGTGACTCCAACTAGCAGCAGCTGAAGCAGTGAAAGGTCCTTGCCACAGCCTGCTACCCAACTCTTTTAACTCAGCGCTGGTGAACCTCAGACCCTGGGGCTGAATGCAGCCCCCCAGGCCTCTCAATGTGGCCCTCGGGACTTTCCCCAGCTACATCCCTGGCTCATAGCTTCAAGGGCTTCTGCCTTGCTTGAAAGTGGGCTTGATCTCCCATAATGCCTCTTGCTTCCTGGATGGAGGATAGTGAGGTGGTTTTGGATGCAGATACAGTGGTACCTCAGAAGTCGAACGGAATCCGTTCCGGAAGTCCATTCAACTTCCAAAACATTCGGAAACCAAAGCGCAGCTTCTGATTGGCTGCAGGAAGCTCCTGCAGCCAATCAGAAGCCCCGTCGGACATTCGGGTTCCAAAGAACGTTCGCAAACCGGAACACTCGCTTCAGGGTTTGCAGCGTTCAGGAGCCAAAACGTCCGAGTACCAAGGCGTTCAGGATCCAAGGTACGACTGTACTAGCTTACTATACAGAGGCAAAATGTATGTTTCCTGTTCCATCCACTTTTGTCCCTTGTCCCTCCCAAAAGGGGTTTGTGGCCCCTGGAAAGTTGCCCAACGAGGTTCCCCATCCCTGGTGAAGACAGTGCAGGGCCGGATGTGGGCAGCTTCACATACTCTGCCCAATTTGCCTCTGACCATGCCCACTGCTGGTATGCAGACCCCTAGGTGGTTGCCAAGAAGGGAATGGGGCCCTCTGGCTGTGGAAAATAGTTCCCCGTCACTGTTCTAATTAAGAGAAGCCAGGGATTGAACTTGCATACAAAACAAGCGATGCTGGTTAAGGACTTGCCCACTTAAGGAGACACTCACCTGAGCATGTTGGCTGGAAAAGAGAGAGAGAGAAAGAGAAAAGAAAGAAGAGGACACAGTTTGAGATCAATGGGTAAACATGCACTTGCTCAGAATGTACAACATACATCTGATGTGATGTCAAAGGGCATAGAGCTTGTGTTTCGCTACATTAAACTTGTGGTGTTTCTACAATTCTGGCCCAATCCGAGAGAACCCAAATCACAGGAGATACAGTGGCTTTTGTTAAATCCTTTTCTTGTATGTGCACATGTGTGCTGAAAGCCGCCGACTGGGTATCATATAAAATTAAATAGAGAGCCCAGATTTTGGTACTGGAATGAAGAGATTCATTGCACAGATTTCAATCCTGCCTTAAGTGGAGTTTCATAAACTGGGGTGCCATCACTGAAAAGACCACGTCTTTGACTGCTCTCCACTTCACCACTAGAAGGTGCCTGCATACAGTTCAAATACCCCTGTAGCAAGTTTTAGACTGGGAGGGGGCCACCTGTGACCCTCCAGATGTTGTTGAGCTACAATTTCCATCAGCCCCTGCCAGCATGGCCAATGGTCAGGGATGATGGGAGTTGTGATTTTCATAGTTTTTTTTTTATAAAAAAAAATTGTCGCCTGGAAGGGTTATTAGAGCTAGCTGTTTCTTACCTTTTGGGCACCAACGGGGTCCAGCGTATAGGAGGACTCCAGAGAGGACTAGAACACCCAGCAGCAAAAGGACCACAATTGCACCCACTATGCCTGCGATGTTCACTGGCTCTGTGGTGGGAGGAGTGGTTTGGGGGTGGTGGGAAGAAAAGCAGAGAAACAGCAGTTCTGGCCTATTTAACGTCTTCCATTTAAAATAAACAACTCACTGTCAATTAAATGTCTCAGGGATGCTTACACAGCAACCCAACGGCAAATACCACAAAAGTGTAAGATTTTTTTAAAAAAATTAGAAAACTCTGGAGAAATAAACAGGCAGTAATTTTTCTTGATAACATTATTAATACCAATATAATCCATCAATCCTTATCAATAATAATAATTGAAAGGAGCAGTGCAAAACAGCTTCCAAACTGCTGCTCCTTTCAACCTCTGATTTCAGCCTCATGGGCCCATGAGGCAGTTTATTTACCCAAATGGGGCAGAGTTTATTCTCCCCTGATGTATGATTTTTTTTTCTCTCCTGGGGCAACCGATCCAGATAGACAGGGTATAAATAATAAAATTATTATTATTTATTATTGTCTCCCTTTATCTTATCCCTTTCCAATATTCAGTAGTACCACGTTGCCTTTCCCCAGAACTCATATTACTTCTCAGGTTCTAGACTCTTTTGAGAAACAAAAACCGCCAAGAAGACTTCTTAAGAAGTGACCTGCTGGATTAGGCCCAAGGCCCACCTAGTGCACCACCCTGTTCTCACAATGGCCAGCCCACAAACAGGACCTGAGAGAAATAACATTCCTCCCCACTTGTGACTCCCGGCAGCTGGTATCCAGGGGCCATGGAGTCAGAACATGGCCATTGGCAGCCTTCCCCATCGTGAATGTGCCTAATAATCTTTTAAAAACCATCCAAGTTGGAGGCCATCATTCTACACTGCAGGAGCAAATACCCTGTTTAACTATGTGCTGTGTTTCTTTCTGGATGTTGAGCTTCCCTGGACAGGCCCAAGTTCTAGTATTCTGGGTGGTTGTGGAGGCACTGCCTTGTTTTCAGTTCAGGGTTTCTCCAGCTGCTTTTGGACTACAGCTCCCATCATCCCTGGCCGCTGCTCTTGCTAGCTAGGGATGATGGGAATTGTAGTCCAAAAACACCTGGAGCTCCAAGTTTGGGAAACACTGTTTTAGTTGATTGTTCTTAAGACACTCTGTGCTCCTTCTGAGCCAAAGCGCAGGGTACAAATGCTCTAAAAGAAAGAATGAATAAACAAAGCATTTCCCACCCACCCCTTTACTGGCGCCACCTTCACCCTGCCTCGTCCCTTAGCATACCAGCGGACTGCCATTTTAAAGGTTATCTGCTTACCGATCACGGTGAGGTAAACATACGCCTCCTTCAGCCCCAGGGGGTTCTCAACCTTGCAAATGTACAAACCGCTGTCCGCGCCGTGAGAACAGTTCTGGATGACCAGAGTGGAGACGTTGCCCTTTTGGCTAACCAGAAACCTCCCGCCGGAACGGATCTCCGTCTGGGTCAGGGAGACGTTGCGCAGCCAGGAAATATTGGCAGGGGGGTTTCCGGCGCTGGCCTGACACGTCATTCCTGGTGGCTCCCCCTACGAAGCAGCTCCTCATGGGGTCGGACACAAGCGAAGGGGCCTCTAAACCAGAGGAAACACAAGGCAGGGGGAGGGGGAGAGTGATTGAAACAGGCGTATCGAGAAAGCAAGGAAGGCAAACACAGGAGGCAGTGATGGTCAACTTGGGATGGCTTTAAAATAGGGTTTTATCAGTCTGTTGACTCACCCAGCTTCACGGTGCAGGCCTGGCTGGTCTGCTGCAATAGGTGGATCCCGCGGCAGACAAACTCCTTCCCAGAGAGCAGAGGCGAGCCATTCAAAGTAGCCACATTGGTGTCCGTAATGCCCGTCACGTTACTGTCCCGGCTCAGGTTCCCCAGATTGGTCCACTGAAGCGTGGGGTGCGGGTAACCCCCGGTCCAGCTGCAAAGGAGCTGCACCCCTCCAGAGCCTTCCGCGGAGGTCTGAGCCCAGCATCGAGGCAGTGATGGCGGAGGATCTGAGGAAGGCATAGAAATTCACAAGATTAACAGGTGGAGGTGTTCTGCAATCTTTAAAACCTTACAGGCTGCAGCTCAGTGGTACAACATCTGCTTTGCAGGACAGCTTTAATCCCCGGTGGCATCTCCAGGTAGGGCCTGAGGGGCAAGACTCCCTGCCTGAAACCCTGGAGAGCTGCTGCCAGTCAGTGTAGGTAATACTGAGCTGGATGGGCCATTGGAAGGCAGCTAATGGACGCGGGTGGCACTGTGGGTTAAACCACAGAGCCTAGGACTTGCCAATCAGAAGGTCGGCGGTTCGAATCCCTGCAACGGGGTGAGCTCCCGTTGCTCGGTCCCTGCTCCTGCCAACCTAGCAGTTTGAAAGCACGCCAAAGTGCAAGTAGATAAATAGGTACTGCTCCGGCGGGAAGGTAAACGGCGTTTCCGTGCACTGCTCTGGTTCGCCAGAAGCGGCTTAGTCATGCTGGCCACATGACCCGGAAGCTGTATGCTGGCTCCCTCGGCCAATAAAGCGAGATGAGCGCCGCAACCCGACTCGGTCATGACTGGACCTAATGGTCAGGGGTCCCTTTACCTTTACCTTTTTAAGCAGAACATCTGAATCTGTGTCAGATCCATAGCACACTGTGTGGATTTTTGATTTTTTAAAAAAAAAACAACGATGCAATGGTTTAATATGCTTTTTTACAATTGGTGTCCATCCATCCCCATTCCATTTTTATTGCACTGCTGTTTCTGCAACCTGCCTCAGAATTTAGACATGAAATCAGAACTGAAGATATTCAGCTCTCTCCTTAACACTGCCTGTTAAAACTTGGGGTACGATTTCTTGTTTTGTTTTTGTAATAACCTCCAAAAAAATAATAATAGCACATGTATGCACCCAGCTGAAATCCCAAGATATGCAGTGAAAATCCAGCATGAAAACACGGTCAGCTGTCCGAAGCATAGGATGTGATTTAACCTTGAGCCACCCGAAAGGTCTGGGTGTCTGCAAAAGTTCAGGATTGTTTTTCTTAATTCTTGCGACACATTAAAAAAATGTTATTATCCCAGAATGACTTTCAGAGGCTTTGGACAGGTCATCTGAGAAATAAGGCAGGCGGTAGAATGAAAGAGCTGAATCTGAGCTGCCTCCTCCCTGGGCTTAGCCCCAGAACCTGTTTTTCAACACGAAAGCTCCACAGGCAAAACAAATAAGATTCCTGTGTGCATTATTGTAATAAGGGATGGGCAGGGCGGGCTCTCTAGGTGAAGCTGGGTAAAGGGCAGAGCCAAGGAGACCAAACATTCACCTTCTCTTCCGCAAATTATATTATACAGTCATACCTTGGTTCTCAAACAGAGTCTGTCCGACTCCCGGAACTGTTCAAAAACCAAGACACGGAGCATCCTGCAGCTAATCGGAAGCCGTGGAAGCCGCGCCAGATGTTTGGCTTCCAGAAATCGTTCAAAAACCGGAACACTCACTTCCGGTTTTCAATCGTACGGGAGCCAAAACGTACACGTTCCAAGGCGTTCAGCAACCAAGGTACAGCTATATATAAGCCTGAGAGGATTTTTTATTTGTGGGCCATTGTGCATGTACAAAACAATATAGTGTTCACATACGAAGGTCCCCTCCCCATTTCATTCTCCGTTCTCCCAAGCCTAATTTTCATCAGTGTGTCCCTTGAAGCAGAGGTTAGGAACCTACAGCCTGCAGGCTTTATTAGGCCCACTAGGCCTTCCCATTTGGCTCAGCAGGATGTTTGGGCCAAGCCATGTCCAACTGCCCTACAGGTTATATATGTTTTTGGAGCAGGGCAGGTAAAGACATGGCTGGCCATGGGGAGCTGGGGTGTTCAGGCTTGAAGCAGGCATGAGCAATCCGCACCCCACTAATTTCACGTGGCCCTCAGCAAGCGAACAGTTCAGACTGTTGTAATTGAAGCAAGACCACCTCCATCTTTGCTGTAGCTGAAGCAAGACTAACGCCATCTTCTTGCAGGCTGGCACCATCATCATGTACAGTGGAACCTCGGGTTACCGATGCTTCAGGATACAGACTCTGATAACCCAGAAATAGTACCTTGGGTTAAGAACTTTGCTTCAGGATAAGAACAGAAATTGTGTGGCGGCAGCAGGAGGCCCCCATTGGCTAAAGTGGTACCTCAGGTTAAGAACAGTTTCAGGTTAAGAATGGACCTCCAGAATGAATTAAGTTCTTAACCCGAGGTACCACTGTATTCTCCTTGTATTCGTGCTGAAATCATGCAAGCTTGAGGGACAGAGAAAGTGCAAACCACAAGGGGTGTGTGTAAAGGAAAATTTTAAGGGCGTGACCTTTAAAACAGGGGTATAAACAGGAAAAATGCCTAGCTAGATGAAGTGTGGAAACATCAGACTTTGCGGTTAAGACTCTTATCACTGGGTGTCTGGCAGGTCTAATCCAGTGTTTCCCAACCTTGGGCCTCCAGCTGTTTTTGGACTACAACTCCCATCATCCCTAGCTAGCAAGACCAGTGGTCAGGGATGATGGGAATTGTAGTTCAAAAACAGCTGGAGGCCCAAGGTTGGGAAACACTGGACAACTATCAAAACTGTGTGTAAACAGAGATCTGGGTTCTGTCTCCGGTCGCTTCCCTGATCAGTTGCAGCAACCTTTCGTGCAAGAAATAACATTTTGCTTTTAGAGAATCCTCGGGCGTCACTCAACGTTGTTGGTGACTAAGGCACTTGGTTGCAACAGACTTTAGGTGGCGTTTTTCTCACATCAAGACCTCCAGGAAGAGCAATCTGTCCCTTTCCTGGCACTGGGTGGGGAGCAACAGAGTGAGAGAGAAAAGGGGGTGTTGGGAAGAGAGAGAATGAGAGAGGGGGAGAGAGAGAGAGAAGGGGGTGTTGGGGAGAGAGATGGAAAGAGAGATAAGCAGAAGCCCACCCTCTTTTCACTCTGCTTTCATCCACTCTATGCTTTTGTTTCACAACAGAGTTCCCTCAAGGGCTGCATTCCCTCAGGACCCTCATAATAGGGTTTCAAGGCCTAAGCAGTTTAGGATCAGGATATACAAGAAAACACCATCTTTGATGCTGAACTTGACAGCCCACGGGCATCATCACTGGGGGCCCCACGGCAGCCTCCCTGCCTTCAGAGGTTAGGTGGGTGGTGTCATGGTTAAACTGAAGGCCTGGGGGTGCATAGGAAGCTGCCCTCAGCTTACTTGGCGAGCTCAGTGGTCCAGTATCTGCTTTCCTTCCTGGCACAGAGGAAGCTGCCTTATGCCGAGACCGTTGCTTCATCTAAGCTCAGTACCATCGACACCAGCAGCAGCTTTCCAAGCAGGGCCTCTCTCTCTCTTTCTCTCTTTCTAATTTATTTAATCAATTTTTCGATACAAACATCAAGTGGTACCTCGGGTTAAGAACTTAATTCGTTCCGGAGGTCCGTTCTTAACCTGAAACTGTTCTTAACCTGAGGTACCATTTTAGCTAATGGGGCCTCCCACTGCCACTGCGCCGCCGGCATGCGATTTCTGTTCTCATCCTGAAGCAAAATTCTTAACCCGAGGTACTATTTCTGGGTTAGCGGAGTCTGTAACCTGAAGCGTCTGTAACCTGAAGTGTCTTTAACCCAAGGTACCACTGTACAACAAAAACCATAACAACAGTAATAACACAATTTGACCATTCAGATTTGGATACACTGACTGATATACCTATGACTACACCTTTTTAAATAATATTTTTCCACCTCTCTCTCCTCCCTCTACTTCCTACCACTATCCGCCTTATCGCTTAAATATTCGTTCCAGATTTCTTCATATTTATCCATTCTTATTTTGCGTCGACATGCAATTCATTCATATGCAGCTAATCAGGCAGGGCCTCTCTCCCAGCCCTTCTTGGAGAGGAACACAAGACCTTCTGCATGCAAAGCAGATGTCCTGCCATTGAATCACTTCTCCTGTCCTAGGACACTTCCCTATTGCCCGCACGGACCGGCAGCAGCCCTCCAGGGTTCCAAGAAAGGGCAATTCCCAGCTAGGGCTGGGTGATATATCAATATAGCCTCCAAAACTGGTTTGAAGTGCATACCGTAATACCTTTTTCATAGTTTTTGACCTGGCAATGTATCGCAAACAGGGTTTTTTGAGCAGGAACTCAGGGGAAACTGAGTTCCCTAACCTTTTAAAAATCAAATAATTATTTTTTGTCGGGGGGGGTGGAAGCTGGAATGGATATGCACCCAATGCCTGAGCCAAAAATCCACCCTATATCTGTAATCAATAAAGTTGTACCCATTTCTAACCGAGATCATTTTCTGCTTCAATTTATTCATCACATTTAGCCACTGCCGGGGGGGGGCAGGGAGCACTGTGACTGGGCCTGCAACAAACAAGCTTACTTTGTTGTAAGTTTCCCCACCTTTTTCCAGAAAAAAAGCATTGGTCACAAATCATGGTGTAGGTGGGTGTTCGCTGTGCAAAAAATCACAATGTGGGGGAAACCATCAAGCCAGCCCATGCCTCTACATAGATCCATCTTTATTTCAGACATTGTGATATATCAGAATATCATAACGTTTACCTGATATATCACGATGCTGAAAACCAGATACTGCCCAGCCCTACTGTTTTCCTCTACATAGTTCCATCCTTATTTCAGACATCGTGATATATTGATGTATCACAATGTTTAGCTGGCCCATCATGTTCTGTGGGATGCGGGCCACCATACTGAGTGCTTTTAAGGCAAAACTCTGCAACGACCCTATGCAAGTGTTTCCTATTAGTATACGTACAGTAGATCAGGAGTTCACGGGTGACGGTCTGCTGCCGGTGGCTGAGCAGGTTAGTTGCCGAGCACGAGTAATTTCCTTGCAAGCTGGGCGACAAGTTGTAGAGGGTAAAGTAGCTCAGGGAGCTGTTGACTTCTGTGAAGGGCTCCTGCCCGGAGCCAGACTGGGAGAAATCCCATTTGGTCGCAGAGGTTGGGCGGGAGTCGCTGGTGCAGGAGAAGTTGAGGGTCCCGTGTCTCTGGGCATAGAGTGTGCCGTTTGGTAGCGCTGTGGCAGGACCGATGTTGACATTCACCTTGGTGGGGCCACCTGGAAAGCAGGTGGAAGAGACAGGTACTTAAAAAAAAGAAAAAGGATATACAGTGGTACATCAGAAGTCGAATGGAATCCGTTCCGGAAGTCTGTTTGACTTCCAAAATGTTCGGAAACCAAGGTGCAGCTTCCGATTGGCTGCAGAAAGCTCCTGCAGCCAATCAGAAGCTGCACCGGATGTTCGGGTTCCAAAGAATGTTTGCAAACCAGAACACTCACTTCCAGGTTTGCGGTGTTCGGGAGCCAAAACATTTGACTCACAAGGCGTTTGGGATCCAAGGTACGACTATACTGTTAAAAGCTGTTTAACTATCTCATATTGCTTCCAACAAATCACCAAATTGTTGGAGAGGTTGTGGGAACAAAGGGAGCAGCTTCCTATTTCTGGTGGCAATGCAGGGTACTTTATTCTGGAATGAACTTTATCAAGGGATACCTACAGCTGCCAATAAGTATCCTATCAGGGGATTATCTCTCAAGTCCATATTACCATCTGCAAATAAATTTTGTAAAACTCAGCCAGATGCTCCAGGACTTTTCTGAGAAACCTTGGATGTTTGACCTTGGCTGTAAAGGGCACTGTCCGTGGTCCTGAACCCAGACCTTGCTCTCCCTCCACTGGGCTATGAAGGCAAACAACTGTATTAATCATGGAATCATAGAATTGGAAGGGACCCTGAGTGTCATCTTGTCCAACCCCCTGCAATGCGGGAATATTTTGCCCAATGCGGGACTTGAACCCACATCACAGGCAGTGGAGGTAGAGCATAGCCACTGTGGCTAGCAGCCATTGATAGCGTTCTAGTCCACGATTTAATCCTTTAAAGCTTAGTATTGGCTGCACCGCCTGGGAGCAGCTGTCCAGGGTTTCAGTCAGAAGTCTTTCCCCAGCCCTACCTGCAGATACCAGTGACCAAGCAGATACTCTTGCACTCTGCTTTCCCTAGAAATAAAGCAGGATTCTAGTCCTCATGGCTCCAATTAAGGATAAAACAGGAGCATAGGGTGCTGCCTTACACCAAGTCAATCCACTGGTCTGTCAGCCTCAGAACTGGCTGTGCTGGCATCCCAAGCAGCTGTTCCACCACTGATCTCCCCCAGTGAGTTTTGCTGCTGAGAGGCGGGGAGGAGGGGTTGGCCCCACATGTGGGCTAGAGACAAAGGAATATAGGAAGCAGCTGTCTCCCAACTCCTGCTCCTTTTAGCTGGAAATATGGGGGGTGGGGAGCTAGCCAACCTAACCAGAAGAGTCCGCGACCAGAAGGAGGAGGAGTATCAGGAAGAGTGGAATAGATTTAATGATTATCTAGTTAAATTTGTTAAGTTAAATTAACTGAAAATAGCTTGCAGATACTTAATTGGCTTAGGATTTTATTTATGTTAAGTGATGAATTAATATGTTTAATTCCATAAGGTGAAGATTTAAGGATGTTAATGTTTCAAGTTAAATTTCGTAAGAATTGGGATTTGGAAAACCATTAAAAGGGCATGCAATGAAATTCAACCAAGCGAGGAAGTCACTTAACAAAGTTAATAAGTGTAATTTTCAATAAGGCTATGATTTTTGTTTGTTTGTCTTGTGTGTGTGTGTGTGTGTGTGTGTGTGTGTGTTTGTTTATAATATTGTGAAAACTAATTTTAAAAATTGGGGGGGGGAGGAAATATGTGGGGTGGTGAGAGGGTCGACACACACAAACACCCCACATGCAAAACAGCCGCTCTGCCCTAAAAGGGGATGCCAGCTTCCATCTGCAAAGATTCCTGAAGGTTCAGCAATTTCCGGTTTTGCTGCAATGGTTCATCAGGGCCTTTGGAAACAAGGCAAGCAGCCCTCTCCCTGCAGATATCTGGACTTCGGTCCAGCCTGCACTGACACGCTTCCCCATGCTGGCCCCCAGCCTCAAGGTCGCAGCCTTTCGGAGCTGTAACGTCCTGCAACGAAAAAGGTGCCACCCTCTGTTCAGCTCGCTCATGCTTCACGATGACCAACAAAGCACACCTCAAAAGCAAACAGGGTGCTGTGCAAGGAACGAAGCCAGGAAGTAAGGAGGCGGTGAACCAGTTAGTAAGAAAATACCAGAGCTCCCAAGAGGGGGTGGCAGTTAGGGGGACTTTGCTGAGGAAGGATGAGGAGGAGAGGTCATTGTGAAGTTTTAATGGGTATCTGTTCTGCAAGGGCCGCGTACCAGACCTTCCTGGAGCAATCTAGTCATCTCCTTTGCAAAAGAGGCTGCTGGCCATTGGAATCATAATAGTAATAGTAATAATAATTATTAAAATTGTTGTTGTTGTTTGCATCCTGCACATCTGACTGGGTTGCCCCAGCCATTCTGGGTGGTTTCTAACATGTATACAGTCATACCTCATGTTGCGTTTGCTTCAGATTGAGCATTTTCAGGTTGCGTCCCGTGGCGACCCGGAAGTACTGGAAAGGGTTACTTCCGGGTTTCGCCACTCGCGCATGCGCAGATGCTCAAAATGACATCACACGCATGCGCAGAAGCAGCGGATCATGGCACGCACAGACGCGGGTTGCGTTCTGCTCCAGAACGGATCCCGTTTGCAACCAGAGGTACCACTGTACAAACATAATCTGATAAAAACAAATCATCTGACCTATCTTCCTACATTACTACAAAGACCATTTGGTCAACCAAGAAAGCTGCTTGAAGTATGCAAGAAGAGGCTTTGAGACCAGGCCAATGGTCCATCTAGCAACCTCTTCTCATGGTGCCCCCCCCCCCCGCCGATGCCCATAGAAAACCCTTAAGCAGGGCCGGAGTACAAGAGCCCTCTCCCCTCCCAAGAGGTGAGAAACCGTGTTGGCCAGCAGGTAATGGCTTTCCCCACCTGCCTTGTCCTACCCTTCAACCCCAGGAGCCTTCAAAAAGGAGCTGTTTCCAGAGGAAGATCCCTGAGGGAAGAGAGACTCGTGTTTGCCATCAGGGGGTGGTTGGTTTCATTTGGGCTGCCCCACCTCCAGCCCGAGGAACATTCAGAAGGGAGTTGCTGCCACAGGCATCCTTTGTATTCTAATGAAAGGAGTGAAAGTTTATGAGTCATGGGCGTGTGGCGAGTGTGTGTATGAACTTAACAGTGCTTAGTTCATTCTTTAGTTGATAATTTATTAATGTTGTTAATATCATTTTATAGATTATAAATGCTGTATTGATTTGTTAATCATTTGCAGTGGTACCTCAAGTTACAAACGCCTCAGGTTACAAACGCTGGCTCCCTCGGCCTATAGAGGAAGATGAGCGTGCAACCCCAGAGTTGTCTGTGACTGGACCTAATGGTCAGTCTTACCTTTAAGTTAGCAAAAACGTACAGAACAAGCACAAACATCTGCTGGAAATGTAAAGAAAAGAAGGTACCTTTTATCATATGTGGTGGTTGTGCGAGGTAATAAAAACTTTCTGGGAGATGATATATAATGAAATGAAACAAATGTTTAAAATAATGTTTGTTAAAAAACCTGAAGCCTTTTTATCAGGAATTATAGGTATTGAGATACCAAAGGATCAGAAAAGTACATTTATGTATGCGACAACAGCCGCACGTATGCTATTAGCCCAGAGACTGAAAGAAGAAACAATCCCGACCAGGGAAGAATAGCAAACCAAGTTGATGGACTATGCCAAAACGGCAAAACTAACTGGCAAGCTCAGGAACCAAGAAGACAAGAACTTTTAAAAAGAATGGGGACATTTATAATTTATTTAGGAGACCATTGTAAGCAGATGAAAACATTAGCAGGGTTTTAATCTCACTTGTAAGGTAACAAAAACTATGGATAACTCAGATGGATTTAAAAAAAGTGGATAACGGATTGATATGCAGTTGTAAATGTTGATATTAGGACTCATGGAAGGGATAGGGGGAGGTCCTAAGATTCAGAGCAATCTCTTTATATGGATTTGCAATTGATTTTGTTGTACATTTATTTTCTTTCATTTTTCTTTTTTTTAATCAAATAAAAATTATTATAAAATAATAAAGAGAAATGCCAAGCAAAGAAGACAGCAACTTACTGGCAACGAGCAACTGAATCCTGTGTCTGTGGTCTGTCTCGTTCAGGACCTCTCTGCAGGTATAGTTGCCTTCGTCCTGCAGCCGCAAGCCTGAGATGTGGAAGGAGCTGTTCCTCACCAGGGAGAAGCGAGCGTCGGAAGGGAGGCTGCCGTCCGATGAGAAGAGGATGGGGATCTTTCCTGGGTCCCCGTGAAACCATTCCACCTTGACCGCTCGCGGAGACACATTCCGGCACACGAGGGTGGCATTTCCTTCCACCTCCCCAATCACCACCTCCTCCGTCCCTGTGGGTGGCCAAAGGGGAAAGAAAAATCACTGCATTCCTTCATGCAAAGCAGTGGTGTATTTATTTCCAACATTTGTATGCCACCGTTTCCTCTGAGAAGCTCAAGCAGCAGGAAAAGGTAGAAACCAGCTCTACCATCTTGCAAGACAGGGTTAGCTGCAACGCCAGAGGGGAGAGGAGACTGTGGCCCTCTCCAGAGATTTGTAGGGCTCCAGCTCACATCATCCATGACCACTGGCCATGCTGGCTGAGGCTGAGGAGGGATGGAGTCCAGAGGTGTCTTTATACCTGTCAGTATACCTGAAGGAGCGTCTCCACCTCCATCGTTCAGCCCGGACACTGAGGTCCAGCTCCGAGGGCCTTCTGGTGGTTCCCTCACTGCGAGAAGCCAAGTTACAGGGAACCAGGCAGAGGGCCTTCTTGGTAGTGGCACCTGCCCTGTGCAACGCCCTCCCACCAGATGTCAAGGAAATAAACAACTGTCTGGCTTTGAGAAGACATCTGAAGGTAGCCCTGTTTAGGAAAGTTTTTAATGTTTGATGTTTTATTGTATTTTTAATATTTTGTTGGAAGTCACCCAGAGTGGCAGGGTATGTATGTATGTATGTATGTATGTATGTATGTATAAATAAATAAATAAATAAATAATAAAAGAACTATAACTTGAAGAACTTGTGCTTGAGCTGGCTTCATCCTCCTCCCTCCCCTTCCTTTTTTCCCTTGTGCGCCATGTGTCTATTTTATTTTCTTGAAGATCCTGAGTTTGAAGACAAGGACCGTCTTGGAACTGTCTTTTGTAAGCCACACTGGGAGTCATTTCATGTACTCTAAAGGGTGGGATGTAAATGCTCTAAATAAACAAGCAAGCAAAGGTGTTGAGGGCAAACAACAAAGGAGACACAGATTGTAGACTTCTTGGCCAGTGTGAGGAACAGGATACAGGCCAAAAATGGTTCCTGGGTCTTCTCCATCAAGACACTTCTTATGGGTAGAGAAGGTTTCCACTGAAACGTGACTTTGCATCCACCCATTCCTTTCCTCAGCAAAATCATCTCAGGGCACTTGTTTATCGTGCTGTTCGATTTCTGTCTGGCACCGTCTTTCAACACAGCAGAGCCATTACTGTTCCTTGGACTGCTGCCCTATGACTGCCAAACCATCATTTCACATTTATAAAGCGTCCACCCTGCTGCGTACGTGGATTCAAAGGCTGCAGCGGACCAGGCGGACGATGACTCATCTCCAAAGTAAAGCTAAGCAGGTCCAAAACACAGCAGCCAGATTGCTGGCTGGGGTTCCTTCGAGATCTCACATAACCCCTGTTTTAAAGCAGGTTGCCCGTTCATTCCCAGACCCAATTCAAGGTGCACATGTTAGTGCCTAAAGCCCTACACGACTCAGGCCCCAAATACCTGAAAGACCACCCCCATCCCTACAAACCCGCTCAGTGCTAAGATCAGCAGAGGGGGCCGCTTGGTAGTTCGACCGCCCTCAAAATCTTGGAGTGGGTTGGTGCCGAAATGAGGGCCTTCTCGGTGGTGTCCCCTGAGTTGTGGAACTCCTTCCCCACAGAGATGCATCTGGAACCTTCATCATGCAGCTGTCAGAGGATGCTGGAGATGCAACCTTTTACCCCTGGCCTTTGACACTAGAGAAGTACATTTGGGGAACCCACCTTATTTCTGTGATTGTAAAGGTGCTTTTAAACTGTTGCTCATATTGTGTTTTAATGTGCCATAGGGCTTCACCCCCTATCCTACCCCGTGCCCCCCCTAAATCTGATCTGGATTTCTCTCCAACCACTGCTGTTTATTAATATTGTATTTAAAAAAACAACAGCAGCAGCAGCAGCAGCCCCAAAGTTAAAAACAACAGACCAACAGATTCCAATTAACAGGAGCCAGTTATTGCCAGTGTTTTGACAGCCAATCAATGTGGGGTGCCGTAGGCAGAAATTTGGCCTTACTGCAGAGATCTGGGTCAGTTTGTTGGTTATAACTTTGGATTTTAATTTTAATTTTTACCTACCGCATTTTCCTTTTTCCTGTAAACTACCTTGATCATTATTTGACAGAAATGCAGAATATAGATACTAAACTCTCTCCCTCTCCTCTCTCTCTCTCTCTCACACACACACACACACACAGAGGCTACTGGAGATAAGATAACATTTGTTCAGTTATTTATCTTCATTTTTGGCAGGCAGTGCGGTTAGGAGAAAACAGCACAATCCCAGGTCTACTCAGAGGCAGAAGTCCTGCTGAATCCAATGGCAAGTACTTTTAAGTACAGGACTGTATATGTTCTTACATACTTGGTGGTTGCAATGAACTAAAGAAGGTGGAATCTAGGAGTGGGGCGCATGACTGAGATAGATGATGATGATGATACAAAAGCAGTTACTTTGTTTATGGATAGTTCCTACAGTCCAGCGCTGAGCATTAGGGGAATTTGTACCACTGTTTGTTTGTTTGTTTTATTTACAAATCATTGTTTTTAACTGACTGCATGCCACCTGGGCAATCTAGATGACAAATCATCCGTATACACAACAATATCAAATTATGTATCCTATGGTTGCATATCACGCTTGGAACGCTTCAGAAGGAAGCAGGGTTTATTATATAGTTATAAGTAACTATAAAGTCCGTTCCAGATCATTGGCAGGGCCAGAACAGAGCTTGTGCCCTATTGCAAGAAAGACTGCCGTAATAAATGCTGTTGTTTCTTTTTCCTCCTTGCTTCTGTTACAATTGCAAATTGGGGGGGGGGGGAGAGGAGGGAAGTTTTCTTTATTTTTAAAAAAATAAAGGGCCACTGCCCTTAAATCTGCTACCAGCTGAAGTGGGGGCGGGGGGCGATGTCAATTGTTTTCATGCTGTATTTAACATTTTTGCAACCAGCGCGCTGGGACATTAGGCTACTAATACTGGGGAACCGACTTATCCCCCTCACCCCACTAGTAACTTCGGAAGTAGGGAAGGTGTCTCGGGCTGTTTGTTTCAGGCACCTCTCGCATTCCCCGGGCGCGCCCAACAAACGCGCAAAACAAGCCCCGCGGCGGGACACGGATCGCCCCGTCCCCACGTGCGCCCAAGCCCGGACCTCGCATACCGACCTGCGGCGATGCCTCGACCCAAGCAGAGGAGCAACGAGAAGGAGGAGAGGAGTCTGGCGGCCAATCCACACGCCATGGCAGCCTCGGCTGCAGCAGCCGAAGCGACCCGGCGGTGCCCCGGAGGCTGCGATGGGGAGGGACGGAGAAGGGAGGCGGGGGAGACCTTCGGCGGCTTCCCCGCCCCGTCGTGGGCGGACCCGGGCCTTGACCCCCTTTGCTAGAGGCTGCGGTGCTCGGCTCCATTTCTCCGCCTAGCGTCGGCTCTGGGGAAGGACGGAGCTCCTGGGGAACTCCGATGTGCGCTTCATCTGACGCTTTTATGTCGTGAACCCCCTTCGATCTTCGGGTGAAGGGCGACATACAAATTTACTGGATCCCAGCATCGTAGAGCTGGAAGGGACCCAAGGGTCATCTAGTCCAACCCCGTGCAATTTATTAGATGAAAAAATAAATCATAAATACACCCACGCAGGGGGCGGGGGCAACTCGAATCAGTGCCGGATTAAACCCCGTGGAGGCCCCTAGGCAGTCGAAGTCAGGGGGTGGGGCTCGCAAATTATCTCCTAATACGTTTTTGGTTTTACCAACCAATAATTTTAATAAACCAATTTCGAGCTCAAATCAATATTATTTTGATCTGTAGTCACAGGCCCCCCAAAAGTCATGGGGCCCATAGGCCAGTGTTTATTCTGCCTATTTGGTAATCTGGCACGGACTTGAATAAAATATTGGGGTGCCCAGGTAAGCCCCGCCGTACATAATCACAATATGGGGAAAACACACACCATTTGAATAACAATGCCCATCGACTGGGGGGGGGGAAACCCGTCAAATATTTTATTGGAAGGGACGAAGGAGCTGGTGGCTCCTATGCACATACTGCTACGCTTTTGTTTTTATTTATATTTCATAAAATTTATACACTGCTTAATTGGAAAAAACAACAACCTCAAAACTACAGTGGTACCTCGGGTTACATACGCTTCAGGTTACAGACTCTGCTAACCCAGAAATAGTACCTCGGGTTAAGAACTTTGCTTCAGGATGAGAACAGAAATCGTGCGGCGGCAGCAGGAGGCCCCATTAGCAAAAGTGGTACCTCAGGTTAAGAACAGTTTCAGGTTAAGTACAGACTTCCGGAACAAATTAAGTACTTAACCTGAGGTACCACTGTATTTACAAAAGATAAAACAGTACAATCAAGAAACACTCACAAGCCTACTTTTAAAACATAGTAAAGGTAAAGGTACCCCTGCCCGTACGGGCCAGTCTTGCCAGACTCTAGGGTTGTGCGCTCATCTCACTCTATAGGCCGGGAGCCAGCGCTGTCCGGAGACACTTCCGGGTCACGTGGCCAGCGTGACAAAGCTGCATCTGGCGAGCCAGCGCAGCACACGGAACGCCGTTTACCTTCCCGCTGGTAAGCGGTCCCTATTTATCTACTTGCACCCGGGGGTGCTTTCGAACTGCTAGGTTGGCAGGCGCTGGGACCGAGCAGCGGGAGCGCACCCCGCCGCAGGGATTCGAACCGCTGACCTTTCGATCAGCAAGTCCTAGGCACTGAGGCTTTAACCCACAGCGCCACCTGCGTCCCATCTTTTAAAACATAGATAAGTGAAAATAGTAAAAGGGATTAAAATTACCTCAACTCTGTAAGCATCTGGGTAGGCTTGCCTAAACAGGAATGTTTTTAGCAGGCGTGGAAAAGAGCTGCAGCGAAGGTGCCTGCTTGAGCTCAATAGGCAGGGAGTTCCAAAGGGTAGGGACTGCCACACCAAATGATTGAGTTCTTACAAATACAGAAGGGGTACTACCATATGTGGCCCCTGTAGCAGGGCCAATTCTGCAGATCAAAGTGGTCAAGTGGGCATATGTAGATTAAGGTGATCTCGTAGGTACACTGGTCCCAAGTTTTTAAGGGCTTTTTACGCTAAGAGTAACAAGCTGAACTTGGCTCGGTAGCAGATTGTGAACCGGCACAGACCTCTGATCTCACTCCTGGCAGCTATCGTGCTGCAGCCGTCTGCACTAACGCTTATTGTGGTAATCATTACAACAGCAAATAGGTTTTAAGTAAATAAGTAAATTTTAAGTAAATAAAATACCATGATAATTTTTTACAAAAGGTAGGTCCAAAATTCAAGTGCATATAAGAGAGCAAGAGAAGTGGAGGGGTGATGGTTCATCTAAGACTGATTCTGCCAAGAGAGTTTGTGGCTGCCTTGTAAGAGGGGTGAATCTGTTGGTTTCAGTTTCTTTCAGCATTGCAGGGGGTTGGACTAGATGACCCTTGGTGTCCCTTCCAACTCCACAATTCCTAGGATTCACATTTTTCCAGTCTTCAGTTCTCTTCATTCCAACATCATTTTGTGATTTTTTTAAAAAAAGATGTCCCTATTAAAATTCATCAGCGTATGTGTCAGAGCTGCCCCAGGTCCCAGCTCACAGAGGACCAACGCCAGTCCGTTGTTATATTAAATAGTCTTTATTGAAGTTCAGTTTCTCATTTACAGCCACGGCGCGCAGCTCTACGTCTCAACCTAGACCGCCGAAGCTCCGTCTGAGTCTCCTCCCCCCAGACACCAGTTTAAGACCCTAGCCTTGCTCCACCTCTTCCTTTGTTCTTTCCTCCTCTGGGTCCGCCTGTCCGCCGGGGTTCTGCCCTTTCCTAGACTCTTCTGACGCTGAGTCCCCCGAGTCTTCCCCTCCCTCTGGCGGGCTTTAGGACCTGGTTCCCAATCCGGGCTTCCTGCTGTCCCGCGCGCCTGTACATTTGAACTTGGCGCGCGCGCCCAGCCTGCCACCTTCCTTCTGACCGTTATACTGCTCCTGTCGCTGCTCCCCTCTTCGGGGACGCTAGCTGGGCCTGACTCCTCCTCCCTGCTTGCCGGAGGAGACGCTGACTCTGACCTATGGGACTCTTCCCCCCCACTACGCTCTGGTGGGGAAGCTGGCCCTGATTTCCAGCTACTGCTCTGGGAGTCTCCGCTGGCCCCCTGCTTCTGGTGTGTCCCCCCTGGGACCCCCCTTGCCCTGGCCATCGGCGCCCCCTTCTGGGAATCTTCTGATTCACTGGAGAGGCTCATGGAATCTCTCGGGTCACTGTCATTCTGCCCTCCGCTGCCCTCAGATTCCTCCCCCTCGCTCTCCATTTCCTCTCTCCCCTGTGCCTCTGTTCCTGAGCCCCTGACAGTATGAATGCAAATTTCCCCTAAATTGCACAGTTTTGCCTAATAGCCACACGATTGCAAAGCAACTTCCCCAAGTATAATGCAATTGTGTGTGTTGTTTTCACTAATAGATGCAGTTCTATGGAAACCTTACATTAGCATATGCATTTTTGTATATGTTACTTGGCTGAAGATCCTCCTTGCAAAATTCGGTGCAAATTTTGAAAAATGGCTGAGTTTTTATCATGTTTTGGAAAATGTGGATCAGATAGGTTTTGACTTTAAATGCCCACTGGATCTCATTTCTCCTCCATCCCTGTAGGACTTTGTTTCCACACCTGGCAGTGCCACCTGTCACAGCTGCTCCTCCCCACGTACCAAGCAACCAACCTTTTGTTGCACAAGTTAATTATAATCCACTGAACATATAGTATTTCCCCACTTTCTACGGGAGTGCATTTGGAAAGGCTTCCTAAAGGGAGTTTCCTCCCCATCACAGAGGAAGGATTATGCTTCCCAGAAACTGAAACTAGAACAGATGCCATTAAGCAAAGATATAACAACAACTGTACACACCCATAACACACCCACAGAGAGGGAAAGTTGTAGTAGCACCATCCTCTGCAAACATCCTCGCCTGCAGGTCCACTGGGAAGACAGGCCAACCCAGAGGTGTCAGAGGAGGAGCTTGGCAACCTACAAGATCCAAGATAACCAGGAGAAACCTACCATTTTGAGCAGCAATAAACAAAGAGCGGTGCAGGGTGTTTACAACTAAAGAGGAGCTGGACGAATAACGAATGCAGCTGATTGTGTGCAGTTCTCCATGCTTGAAACTTCCAGGAGCTTCTCGTCGCAGCACAGTCGGCAGAAAGGAAAAAGAAAAGGAAGGAGAGGAAAAGGAGAGAAAAGCCAAAGAAGGGAAGGAAGAAATGCAGGACAAAAAGCCATCACCTAGACGATGCCACAGAGATCAACATTTTGAGGATGGTCGATGTATCAAGCAAGGAAAGTCAGAAGAAAGTGAGGGGTCAGCAGGGGGAGATGGCTCAAGAAAGACTAGGAAGGAGGAAAAGGCCGCCAGATGAAATCCAGACCAAGGAAGACGACATCCAGGAAACATTCCGAGCTCAAAAGGTATAAAGACTTGACACCTGTTTTTGAGATCCTGTGTTTAATTGGGGTTTTGTTTTTTTGCCATCTTCCAGGTGGAGTCAATAGCTGCTGTGTTTAAAGTTAAGTTGGGGGAATGGAGAACAAGGGGCTCCTGCTCACCCACATCCCAGCTCTGCAAACACTCTGGGGCAAAAGACTCGTTTTTGAAACCATTTTTCAACATGCCTGAGGATGGAGCAATATAGGATTGTGTGTGCACGTGAGTGTGCAAATACACTCAGTTTCCAGGATCTCCCTTTGCCTGTCTATTTTTTGAGGGTGTGAGGGAACATACAAATTGGCACCACTTGCTTCCTAAAAGCAGCATGTATGTGGAGGCCTGCATGTACCTCCCATTTACTGTCCTTGCCTATTATTATTATTATTATTATTATTATTATTATTATTGATTACCACCTTTCACCATAAAGTCCCAGGGCAGAAAAATCCAATATGAAAACCTGCTTAAAGCGTTTGGAATCATAAGGAGGGTCCTAAAACATATTCTAAGGGCCATCACTCTTGCCCGCTCTGCTCACCATCTGCCAAACCGCCTTCCCCCACACTTGGCCAAACCCCTTCCTTTTACATCTCACCCACTCCATCGCCTATCCCCTCAAAGTTTTCCCCAAGCCCCGCACCTGTAGCAGCCCCCATAATTCCTTAATATTAGTCATGCTGGCTGGGGCTGATGGGAATTGGAGTCCAGTAAATACCTGGTAGGCCCTTGGATCTCCTTCCTTGGATTAAGGTGTCCCAGACAAATTATTAGGCATGGTCTCACCTCTTCAGAGGCCACATAGGTAAAGGTAAAGGACCTGGATGGTTAAGTCCGGTCAAAGGTGACTATTGGGTGCAGTGCTCATCTTGCTTTTCAGGCCAAGAGAGCCAGCGTTTGTCCACAGACCGCTTTTCCAACTCATGCGGCCAGCAGGACTAAACCACTTTTGGCGCAATGGGACACCATGACAAGGTCCAGAGTGCACGGAAACACCATTTACCTTCCTGCCGCAGCAGTACCTATTTAGCTACTTGCACTGGTATGCTTTCGAACTGCTAGGTTGGCAGGAGCTGGAACAAAGCAACAGGAGCTCACCCCGTCATTCGGATTTGAACCACCGCCCTTCCGATTGCCAAGCCAAGGAGGCTCAGTGGTTTAGACCACAGCACCACCTTCATAGGAATCCGCCCCAAACCACGTAGCCCAGTGGTACTCCACATTCTTAGGCAGAGTTGTTGTGGCTGGTGCCCTTTGGGACTGGTAGGGTGGAAGGCAGGGAGCCCCACAGTAGGTGGCGCCAGAGCAAATGATTGGTGGAGCCAACATATTCTAGTTTTGTCCCCACCCTACTTCCTGTTGAGTTCTGCAGGGGCAGCCCTGACGGAGGAGGAGGAAGCTGACAGGCAGGACCAGCCCAGTGGGGCTGTCAGTAAAGAAGGCAGGCAGATGAAAGCCGGCTGGAAGCAGCCACAGATTGGTAGGGCAGGGCCTCATTTGCCCTAATGGACCAGCCTCCACCGGATACACAAGGAAACAGGATATAGAAACAGTGAGGCCAAGCTCCTTCCAGGAGGAAAGTATAGTAGGCGTGTGTGTGGAATAGGAACAGGGAGGGAAGGGGTGAGAACAAGCAGCAGGCTCAGAAGTGAGCTAACAGTAGCAAAATGTTCTCTCTTTTTCTTATTTACCGTAAGTGTATATGCCACAAAACAGGCTCAAAGTGGCTGACAACAGAACCACGAAAATGCAATTACAATATCACATCAAATACTAAATTACTTTGAAACATAATGCGATGGTCCAGAAAATAGCTCAGTCTGGCAATCCAAGTTGAAAATTATTCATCTGATTTTATTACTGTGCTTTGGAATTCTGTCCTGCCACCTTGTGGTGAAGGGAGAATAACAAAACGAGGTGCACCTGGTTCTATCGAACATCAGGGAGGCCTGGCACCCGTCCAACAGGGCCCGTCACACCCTCCGCAAAGCCCAACAGGGCCCACCCAGCTGCAGAATATGGAGGGGGGCCCTCCCCTCATTGAAAATTGGGGAGCCCTCCCCCCTGCCCGCAGGCTCCCCCATAGATAGTGTGCCTGAAGAAAATGAATGTAATAATAACCCTACTTACCTGGGAATAGGCTTAACTGAATTCAGTAGGACTTACTTCTGAGCAGACATGATTAGGATTGCACTGTAGATATTTAAGGTTTTGCTTTGTTTTTGTTTTGCAAAAGACTGAAGGTGCCTGGAGCTACGATGGCAACTGCATCAGACTAGGGCTGCAGAAATCTTGATTCTAATCCCTGCTCAACTCAGAAGCTCACTGGGTGCCCTTGGGCTAATCAACTCTTGCCCTGGCCCACCTCACAGGGTTGTTGTGAGGATAACATAAAGTGGGAAGGAAGAAGACCATGTAAGCTCTTTTGTGGAAATGCAGGACATCAGTGCAATGGGTACATCAATAATGTTGATATTCTTTTTTTGGTAGGAATCCCAGACTTCACTGAGTGGCCAAACTATCCTCTGCACCATTGTCTGTTCAGAGGTAGAAACGGTAAAAAGTCTTTTGACACCTTAAAGATTACCTCTCTGTAAACTGTAGCTCAGAAGTTAGCCTCATTGTGTTCAGTGGGACCTACTCCCAGGTAAGTGGGTTCTGGATTGCAGCCTGGGTGACCAATTGAAAAATAGTTTGGGGCTCCTGCACCTTTAATTGCTGCGTAGAAAACCGAATTCCTTCTTCTAACCAACTGTTAAAGGTGCAGAAGCCCCACCCTCTCTTTTTCACCTGACACCTCTAATTGCAGTCCTTAGTGCACAAGGATGGAAGAATGAGGAAATCCCAACGGAAGAACAGTGGGAAGAAAAAGTGGTGAGCTCTGTGGAATTGGCTAAATTGCATGACAAGGACAACCGTGACTTCAAGGAAGAATGGGAACTTTTCACCAACTATCAAAATAGACAACAAAATGAATTGCACTCCTTGGCAGGTTTTGAATAAACACCCACAAATTTATTAGTTGAACACATGATAGATAAGGCAAGGATTTGTACAATTTTATAACATGCAGAGAACAGTATGTGCAAAGAAATCAGAGAGGGGAGCTGAGGGAAGTCCTTGGTGGGGGGGAGAGGGAGGGTAGGGGGGGGAAGGGGGAAAATAATGTAATTGATTATTTGGACTGATAATTTGGTATGTTGAAAGTGTTTAATAAAAACATTTTTTTAAAAAATAATTGTAGTCCTTAGAAAACAATCCTATTTCTATTTACTCAGAAGTAAGCCCCATTGAGCCCTTAACTGCCCCTCTTAAGACATGGGAAGTCACTTCTGAGCAAACAGGGCGTCTTAGGTGATTATAATATTTTGATTGATTAGAAAAGTTGGCACCTTTTAAATTTTATTATCTATTTTTAATGCAGGCACTTTCAAGTCCATAGGCGGCACAGGTCTCGAAGGCCGGGTGGGGAGCTTGGGGGGACCACATTAGACTGGGGATCCCAGGACCACCCCACCCCCATCTCTGCTCTATGACATTTCCAGAGGCTTCGACCCCACCTCTCCAAAGAACCCCCCCCACCGGCACACCCCTCCCTCTACCAAGAGCCAATGGGCATGAGACAGATAGGTCCCGCCTCCTCTAGGATTACAGGAGGTCGCTGTCACTCATCTAGCACCAGATTCTCTTGCTAGGACGGGGAGGTAGGGGGCTTGCGCGCGCGATCTTTGCCCGGGAGAGATCAAGCGGCTTTCTGGGTGTTTTCTTTTTGCGAAGATGGCGGTAGATCTTTCTGACTGGGACGTATCCCTAGAACTCTTGGAGGTGGATGAGAAGCCGGCGGTTCCTCTTTCGGTCAACTACGGGTCGGTGGAGATCGACGAACTGGGCAAAGTCCTCACTCCCACCCAGGTAATCCACTCCCGCCACAATCCCGGCCCGTGCAAAGAAATTGCAACCCCCCACCCCCAAGATGCAATACGCTTCCCCAGCCTTTTGCACAATGGCTACAATTGCCCTGCCTTCCCCCTTCAACGCGAAAAGCGGCGCCTGCTTTGTTTTTTGCATGCGTCCGTCTCTCCTTGGGTCGAGATCACCCAAGAAAACGTCTGCTAGGTGCGCAGTGGGACCTCCCCCTTTTGCAGAAAATAAAATACGTCCTGCGTTTGCAACCACGCGAGGAAGGAAGGCCCGCGCGTGGTGCATGGCCTCCCTCGTCTAGCGCTGGTGATCCGCTGCAAGCAGATAAAAATTAAGAATTAAAAGCGCCTTGCTTTCGAAAAGGCGCAGAACGCTTTTTGCCTCCACCGAGAAATATGTGCACTTTAGGATGAGGGCAAAGGAATCCCAATTGGAAGGGTCTGTGTGCGTCAGTTCTGCAATTTATTTTAAGACAGTGAGGTTTTTAATTTGCCATCCATCTGTTCGCTGCAGAGTTTCCTTTAGAATAGACAGGACGATAAGATTTGGGGTTGGTTTTTTTCCAAAGGGGCGGAGGGGTTGTGCCAAAAGTGCAACCGTTGAGAATATGGCATCTGCCTGAAATAGGACGAGGAGGGAGGCTGGGACTTGCAAGCGGCCTGCCCAGGTCTGGCCTGCCCCGCCTCCTCCGATGCCAGGCTGCTGCTGGAGCGCGTGCCGGGACTGGCATGCAGCAAAGGGGGAGGAGCGCGCGGGCGCCCGCCGCCGGAGCAGAGCAATGCCTGCCCGCCGCCCTTTGCACCCTCCGGGAGAGGCGTCACCGGCAACGGGAGCGGTGCGGAGCTGCTGCTGCTGCTGCTTGCGGCTAAGTTGATTGCGGCCCTGGAGAAGGTCGCAAGTTCAAATCCCTCCTATCTTCTGGTGGGGCTGGGAGAGCACCCTGCCTGCAACCCTAGAGAACGGCTGCCAGTCAGTGCAGGCAAGCTTGAGAAAGATGGGCCCATGGCCAGACTCTGTATAAGGCAGCTTGCGATGTTGTTGTTGTTGTTTTAAAAAAAAACATTTAATGCTTTGTTAATTTTACAAAGAAAAACAATCCAAAATCGATACATATTTCCAAGAAAAAAAATTAGATTAATACGTAACAGATTCCATTATGACTTCTGATCAGCCCAATGTGATTCCTAAGTTACACTTTCGACTACTCACTTTCCATTGTCTCTCTCAAATTGTCTCAATTGTAATGGTTTTGTAAAATTTCCTACTGTCATGCGGAGGTCAGTCCAAACCTGCCAAAGAATTTAAATTTTTACATTGTTCTTTTAGGTATACTCTGTAAGTTTCCCACCAGGACTGGTATTTTCTGACAGCAAACATAGGAAGCTGAAGAAGGAGGAGGAAGGCAGTTTCCTATGTTTGCTGTCAGAAAACACCAGTCCCAGTGGTGCACTTATGAATGAACACATATTCAATGACAGGTGGGCTGTCTCTGAGTTCCCCTATATAAAATCCAGCCTTTCCACTCCCTCTTTCCCGTTAGATTTTGACCAGTGGTGGGAACACATGATCTTCTGACTCCTATCAACCCCAGCTGACTCCTGTCAGTCCAATGACAGATTGCAGCTCTTAACTTCTGGAGGGCTGCAGGATCCTCATCCCTAAACTAAGTGAATCCCAGCTGCAGGCCTGTGCTTGGTGCCCCTGCAGGAAAACTGTATATAACTGCCCCGTGTGGAATTCTGGGAGTTGTAGTTTGTTAAAGGTGCTGAGAGTTGTTAGGAGGTCCCTGTCAGTTCTCAGAGTTCCCTATGAAGAGTATTTGATGGTTAAACCACTGGGAACTGTAGCTCTGGGAGCAGAATTATTATTATTATCTATACCCCGCCCTTCCTGGTTTAAAAACCGGGCTCAGGGCGGCTAACAGCAAATATAAAACATTGATTAAAATGCGACTTTAAAACAGCATAAAATACAACATAAAATGCAGTATCAATATCAAAAAAATTCAGGAGTCATTTTGGGGTCAAATAGGGGCCTCCTTGAATTTCTCAGCACCCCTAACAAATACAGTTCCCCCATTTTTTTGTGGGGGGAGCCATTGCTGCTGGCGTCACAGTGCTTTAAAGGTATTGTGTGAATGTGACTTTGGTTAAGGCATGGTTGGTTGGTTGGTTGGTTGGTTTGTTTGTTTGTTTGTTTGGCTGGATGGATGATGGTGAATGTGTTGTCTTCGTTTTTATATTTTTGAATAGGTTCTAAAGGTCTTGCCGTTTTGTTTCTGGCAGGTCAAGAATCGCCCAACAAAGATTGACTGGGAGAACTGCAGTGCAGAAAAGCTCTACACTTTGGTCCTTACTGACCCTGATGCACCGAGCAGGAAAAACCCAAAGTTCAGGTGAGAGGGGCAGGCTGTGAGATCCAGAATTTCCATGCCAGATTTGATCCAGAAGGCAAGCCAGGATTTGCAGGAAAGATGTGTGTTGTTGTTTTTAATAATATATAAAGATTTCTTACCTTTCAAGGTCAAATGAGGCAATTGATAGGTGATCTGGAAGTTGCAGGAGGTCTTCCCTTGGAGGTAAGGGAAAAGCAAACCTCATCTCTATAGCAGAAAAATCCCAGCACTTGTTCCTGTATGCAGAGATAACTGTGGCTGCACTGCAAAATTTGAACCATCCATTCCGATGCCTGACAAAGGCCTTTTATTTATATTTTGTTTATAAAAACAATGCCGCTATTCATAAAAAATCAGAGCAGCTTACATCCATTATACATAAAAACAAAGCAATAAAGACTATTTTAAAAAACTAAAATTGGAAATGGGTTAAGATGTCTGCTTGATTGCCTGCATAAGCCTGACGTAATAGAAAAGTTTCTAGCGGGCATCTAAAAGTGGAAACAGAAAGTTCCTGCTGTATCTCTTGGCAGAGAGTTCCACAGGACTGGGCTGATGGCAGTAAAGGCTTGATTGCTTGCCGTCAGAAAGAGCCTCATCAGCATCTGGCAGCACCTGTATAAGACTAGTTATAAGAATAGGAACTCCCTGCCTATTGACATCAAGCAGGCAACCTTCACTGCCCTCTTTTTGGCTCCTGCTAAAAACCTTCTTGTTGAGACAAGTCTACCTGGATGCTTAGAAAGTTGAGCTAATTTTAATCTCTTTAGTATTTTTACTTTTGTATGTTTGAAAGTATGTTTGTGATTGTTTCCTCTTGGTCTTATTTTACGTTTTTACTAAACTGCTTTGAGGGTCTAATTTTTTAGTGTTCCTGCAATATTTACTTTGGGGAAACTGAGGCAGATGCGCGCGCTCTCTCTCTCTCTCTAGGGAGTGGCACCACTTCCTAGTGGTTAATATGAAAGGCAATGACATCAGCAGCGGCACCGTCTTGTCAGACTACGTGGGATCTGGACCACCTAAAGGAACAGGTAAGCAAGCAGCAATGCTGGCCCCATTGCTTTAAGGCAAGGTCTGTTGAGTGTCTTGACTCAGTTTGCACTTTGCGGGGGAAAGCAGACCCGTTGGATCAGGGCAGGCTGGAAACAGCAGAAGAAAAGCTGCAAAGCTAAACATTTCTGCTTCAGGAATTTGCATGGCTGAAATAAGAGCAAAAGGACACAAGCTGCTAGTACTTTTCCGTAAAGTGTTGGTGCTGACCTTTAAAGCCCTAAACGGCCTCTGCCCTGTCACCCCCATCAACCAGCCTGAGACACTGAGGTCCAGCTCTGAAGGCCTTCTTGCGGTTCCCTCACTGCAAGAAGCAAAGTTACAGGGAACCAGGCAGAGGGCCTTCAGTAGCGGTGCCTGCCTTGTGGAATGGACTCCCAGAATGCATTCTGTTCAAGAGCCAAGGTACGACTGTATTTTGTTACAATAAAGCAACAAAAATTATTTGCAAAATAATAAAATAAAATCAGAATCCTGTGCATATGTTACTGCCATGTTTCCCCCCCCCCCAAAAAAAAAGGTTGGGCCACCACGCCCCTTGGTTTGATACTCATCCACAGTGCCTCTTACCCTATTAAAAAGCATTATTCAGAATAGTGGTTTGCATCACCCACTAAGGAAGATAATAAAATTCAAAACAGTAACAATGAGTTGCACATTTCATCGAAATCCAAACAATTTAGTTTTATTCTGCAAAATTAATGGCTTTGATCCAGTGATACCAGCTTTTCAAAATTTGATAAACTATTACACCTCCCAGCACCCTCCTGCCTCCCCTTGCCTCTAAGCAACCCCCCCCCCAGGTAATCCCTCGGCCCCTCAGGGGTGGCACCACCCACTTTGGGATCCACTGTGTTACTGGATGGTTGTGACCGGAGTGTGATGGAGGGGAGGTTCGCGATCGCTTCCTCCTGACGCAGGTGCGCAACCCTTGTTTTCTCTCTCGCACGCTGCAGGGCTCCATCGCTACGTGTGGCTGGTCTACGAGCAAGCCCAGGAGCTGGAATGCAATGAGCCCATCCTCAGCAACCGGTCCGGGGATAAACGGGGCAATTTCAAAGTGGAAAGTTTCCGCAATAAGTATAAGCTGGGGGCCCCCGTGGCAGGAACATGCTACCAGGCCGAGTGGGACAACTATGTGCCGTTGCTCTACAATCAGCTGTCTGGGAAATAAAACCCCGCCTCTTCCAGCCCCCCACCCTCCCCCTGCTCTGATTTCTTCTCCTAGAACGGAGATCTTCAGCCCTCTACAACTCCCATCATCCCTGACCATAGGCTAACCTGGCCGGGGCTGGTACGAGTTGTATTCCAAGAGGGGTACAAAATGGAAGGCGGCTGTCTTTAGAACTCCCATTTCCTGTAGTGTTAAGTAAAGTGGGTTGAAGACTAATAAGTGACGCCCCCGCTCCAAGCTGCTCCTGAAACTCAAACAGGGATAGATAGATTCTGCTGATTCTGCAAGGTGATTGGCCATACTAGACAGTTTCTTGTGGGGGACAGTCAGAAGTGCAGTAAATGAATTTGTTACAACAACAAAGGAACTGTGGCAAAACATCTCTCTTTTGTGGTCCTCCGCAAAAGTTTGTGTGTGTGTGTGTGTGGCATTTTGGCTGTTTTTGGAGCGGCGTGGTGACATTTTTTGGGGTGGAGGGATGCACAGAATTCGCACACCTCTAGAATCCTCTTTGCTGCCAACCTATATAGATTCTCACATCCCTCAAAACAGCTCCCATCATCTTATAGCATAAATTCTGGGGGTTTAAACACTGTGGTCAGCAGCATGGAGCTGCTGATGAGTTTTCCACCCTGCTGTTGAAATTTCCCTACACCACCTTGAAATGCATAGGGGCAGTGTCCCCCCCCCCTCCAAAAAAAAAAAAACCAAATCGCTCTAGGCTTTCAAATATTCATAAGCTCAGCCCAGCCCTGTTCCAAGGTGGTCTTTTCCTGGGACTGTTGAGTTACTTAGCCCTGAATTCCTTGCAAGCTATGAAACGGGGATTTCAAAGGGAGTGGGACAACATTAAGCAAGGAATTGCTGGCTGTCCAGTTTTTCTCGGGAAACCAAACCACAAACGCCATTTTTCTCCTTAAAACCAAAAATTGTTACACTAAACCACAAATGGGAGCCTTTTTTATTTGCATGTTGGAAGTTTTCGTTTTGATCCTGTCGCTGCTCTCTCGCTCAGGACAAGTGCTGACAGCAAGGAGAAAGACCAGCAGCAGAGTCGGGGACGGAAATGTGGGCCTTGGGCAGTGCCAACCCTGCGGCAGCTCCATCGTTTGTGCTTAAGATGCTGGAAGGTGCCTCTCCCTGGGCTTTGGTCCTCTGCTTATATCCTGGCTATCTTTAGTTTCTCTTGGTATATCCACAGGATCCCAGTGTCCTCATCAGCAATCGATTTTAGAAATTTCTGCTTTCTTTTGTCCATGATGTGTTTTTGATGAGGTTCACCCCACTGCCTTCGGTCTCATTTTGCCAATATACCGGTATCTAATGTTGGAAATGTTTCTCCTCTGCCCCCCCCCTCCAAAAATGTGTCACTTAAACCAATGTGTAACAAAGGCCTTTTGATGTTCTTGGGAGATCTTTGAATGCTGCACACATACATTGTCACTTGTGTTTATAGCCCTCTGTTGACAAGGGGCTGTGGTTTATGCTTTGTTCTCGTTCTTTGAATTAAAAGCTTACAATTGAAGGTGGTCCTTTTCTTTTTATAGCTGTAAAAATGCATTATAAAAATGTGACACTAGAGGGCACTGTAGAGCAGTGACATGTCAATGGGAAGTTGCATTTGAGAGCTATGTAACTTTTTTTTAAAACCGCGTTTTACAGATCAGTGTAGATCCAGCCTTAGGCTCTGCTAGTTTAATGGAGCCTCCATTTGCAATGGCAGCTTGCCTCAGTACAACCAGATGTGGAGAAGGGGCTGCAGACATCTTCTGTTCCCAGCTTCATAGGCATATTTCCAGCCACTGTTGGAGAATGTACCGTATTTAGATTGATATAGATATATCCATCCATGCATCACTGGCAGTCATTAGGGACAATAGCACACATAAATGGCTTATATTGGGGAAAATAAATGAGTATATTAGGAGATACTTACAGTAAAATGCTAATCAATTTTCATGAGGGTTTTTTTAAAAAATCACAAACCAATGTGGAAATGTGGAGAGCTGAACTTAAAATTGTAAAAATTAGAAACACATGAACAAAAGTTTAGTTATTTGCTCATCCTTAGCCCTGGGAATGGAGCTACAACATTTTGGAAACAGATCTGGCCAAGAGGCTGAAACACCCAATAGCATTCTATGCTGCAACATCATGTTGCAGGTCCCACCTGTGTGTGTTAAGATTCAACTATACAAGGAGAAGCTGGATTCAAATGAAAACTCAGGAAAGATGTTCCAAGGCAGGTGGACTTTGGTATTATTATTTTTCACTGAAATACACACCCACGCAAGCCCTGTGGCAGGAAATGAAGGCTACCTTCTCTGAGTCACTTGCCAGTTGCATAATGGTTACCAACAACCTTGGTACCACACACACACACACAGAGAAGAGTGCCATCTGTTTGTTTTGTTTTTGCTATTATGCAGCACCTCCGTCATTCTGCTATAGTCAGGACAATGTGATAATCGCCTGAACACAAGTCGCTCTGTCTTGTGTCTTCCCACCCACCCTGCTCCCAGTAACATGGGGAAAACCACTGTGCTCCATTGTATGGTTTTCTTAAGTCAAAGACACTCGGATTCTGCATGATACAGAGAAAGCAAGCAGATATTTCACCCCCTCCCTCTAATCATTGGAAGACAATTAAACTACGCAGCTATTAGGGTGAGGTGATCCAGATAATGCACGCATGGAGAGGCTATCAGACTCCAACACCCATCAAGCCTCGCCAGCATAGCTAATGGCCAGGGATTATGGGAGTTGTAGTCCAACAAACAACTGGGGTTCTTTATCTTTTGACTGAGTATTGTGGGCTTCGTTGCCTTGGCTTGGATGGCTTTTAAAAGTGGGCTAGAGACACTGACAGAGCATCACCAGCAGTTGTTAGATATGATAGATAAAGAAAACCTCCAGGTTTAAAACAAATTTACAATATATCTACCTAATCGTCAAAAGGAACCAGGAAGCTGCGTCAATAGACGGCGTTGCTGCGCCTCTACAATTTATAGCTCTATGAGGAGGGGGAGGAAAGGTGTCTGTGAATGGGCGGAGAGAAGTGTCTCCAAACTAGCGTGGGCCAGAAGAGGGCAGAGACTTCATTGGCTGCGCGGCTTTGCGCCTGCTCAGAGCGAGCGTTCTAATTCTAATGATTGATGCTGAACCACGTGGGTTCCATTCTTGAAACTAGCTGCGCAACGATCGAGTTCAAGGAGACTCGGAGTGTCTTGCAGCAGCAGCAGCAGCAGTGGGAGGAGGAGGCGGCCGGCCGGCAGTCAGGAGCAGCGCTGGTGCAATAGACCCAAGATCAACATGCCCAGGGGCAGCAGGAGCGTGGGATCCCGGTCGACTGTGGCCAGGTACGAGGGCAGTGTCTGAGCAGCGAGGTTGGCAGTGTCACCTTTAAATAAGAAAGGCTTAGTTTTCAAAGGAGCAGTTGCAAGGACCCGAGGTTTATTGAGGTTACGCCCTCCCTCTGTCCTGGAAAAAACCCTATCAACCCCTGCCTCATACCAGGAGGAAAGAAAAACCTATGTGTACACGCACATTTCTTTATGTATTTGGGTTATTGCGTTTATATCCTGTCGCTTCTCAAAGGATCTCAAGGTGACCTCTCTTCACTCCCTTCAGTTTTTCCCCCTCACAACAACCCTGATAGGTAGGCAAGGTTAAGAGAGAACAGCTGGCCCAGCCATGGTCATGCAATGAGTTTCGTGTCTGTTTTCCCTAGTCTCAGACTGACTCTCTAACCACTACACCAGACTGTGTTTTGTTGGTCAAAAAGGCTGAGTTCTGACACTGGAAATAGGTGGGGAAGTTTGGGGTGGCTCCCGATTCACATTTTCAAAAAAAAAAAAATTCATTAGGAAGGAGGTTGTTGATTTTAATTTTTCTTCCGCCCTTCCTCCCAGAGATGCCCAGGGCAGCAGACACCAAAGGGTAGCAGTGAAAACTAAAATAGAAACATAAAACTGTCACACTTACCACTAAGCTGGACCCCCGCCTTATAAAAGGACGCACTTTATTCCTGTGATTGTAAGTTCACAGAATCATAGAGTTGGAAGGGACCATGAGGGTCATCTAGTCCAACCCTCTTTTGTCCTATGTGGGTCTTGAACCCAGGACCCTGAGATTAAGAGTCTCATGCTCTACTGATTTTTTAGCTGGGTTGTAACCTGTCCCGGGACCTTAGGGTGAAGGGTTGATAAAAAAAGAGTAATAATTTCAAGGTCACTTAGGAACAGTATCTTTCAGCCATCAAATGCCTAGGAAAACAGGAATGTTTTCCTGAGAGATAATAAGGAGCGTAACAGATGCATCTCAGCAGGAAGGGCATTCCACAAATTAGGAACCAACACCTAGAAGGTTCTGTTGTGCGTCACTGATTTAGAGTGTGGGTAGCTGAAGGTTGTTGGTTTGCTCGTAGATCTGAAGGCTACCAGTGAGATCAGGCCTGGTTAAAATAATGAGATTCCACTTTTTAGAATGAGAAAAGGCTGTATGAAACTATTAAACTGCAAAATCATATTGGTAGTGAGGCTGCTGTATTTCTTCCTTTCTAAAAAAATGTGGCTGTTTTGGTTTTATGGTGTGTGTTTTTGCAAGGTGCTCTTTTCTGGAACATTCTAAGGCTGTGTTTCTATAACCTCTCCGTTCCCTGGTAAAGGCAGCAGCAATCAGTTCAGTGATTTACTGGGAAACACACACACACACACACACACACACACACGGTTTTAGATTTCCCCCATCAATTTCCAGCATTGAACTTGTTGCCTCGTGGAGATGTTAAGATACCTTGAGGTCAGGATATTGGAAGACAGGAAGCTAATACAGAGTCAGACAATTGGTCCATCTTGCTCAGTACAGTGGTACCTCGGGTTACATACGCTTCAGGTTACATACGCTTTAGGTTACAGACTCCGCTAACCCAGAAATAGTACCTCGGGTTAAGAACTTTGCTTCAGGATGAGAACAGAAATCGTGCTCCGGCGGCGCGGCAGCAGCGGGAGGCCCCATTAGCTAAAGTGGTGTCTCAGGTTAAGAACAGTTTCAGGTTAAGAACGGACCTCCGGAACGAATTAAGTACTTAACCTGAGGTACCACTGTATTGCCTACACTGGCTGGCAGCAGCTCTCCAGGTTTGCAGACTAAAAATATTCAATAGAGAGCGGGCCAGAGATACTGTAAATACATAAACACTATACAAGGATTTGGGATGAGGAAGAGGGAGGACTAGAAAGTTCTGGATACAAATCTAATATATGAGTTGTATTTACCTGCTGTTTCACTTGATGGCAAAGATCGCCGAACATCCCAAGGTGACCTTTTGGAATTGCTGGTTAACGTCAGTCTTGTGTTTAGATTGTTTTGAAAGAAAGTGAACTCTGCTCCCTGGTGGGTCAGAAGCAAACCAAAAGTTGTGCCAGATTCAACTAGCCAGTTGTGATGGCAGGAACCCACGAGGATTTGAACACAAGGGCTTTTGCCAGCACAATGGGGCTTCCCACTTCCCCCTGTCTGCCCCACAAAATAGATTCGGAGGGCTGTTGAGAGCAGTGTTGGAAACTCAGATATACAAGCTAGGTGCCCAATGGCCTCTTAGACCAGGGTTACAGTCGCCAAAACGGAATGCCTAGTTGCCATTTTTCAATACGGCTTTTTGGTGGTTCCTGAAATTCATTCTGATTGTGCAGATAAAATGTGATGGGTCGAATTCCACAGGATGTGTCACTAGCGTGTGAACACAGTCCAGATCCAAGGATCTCCAGGCATGCACCTCCAGATGGTGGAGACGCCAGGTGTCAGTCATCCTGGCGCCCAGGCATGTTGACTTGGTCGCAAGTGGCCGGCAGACAGGTGCAAAATGTGCCTGGCAAATTTTGAACTCTGGTTGAGAGAACCCACAGAATGGCATTGGGGCGGGCGGAGAGATGGTTGTGTCACGTTTGTGTTGATGGAGCGATTTCCTTAGTGTGACATCAAATTCCTCCCATTGCGTTGTAACCCACTGGAGAGCCAGTGTGGTGTAGTGGTTAAGAGCGGTAGATTCGTAATCTGGTGAACTGGGTTCGCTTCCCCGCTCCTCCACATGCAGCTGCTGGGTGACCTTGGGCTAGTCACACTTCTCTGAAGTCTCTCAGCCCCACTCACCTCACAGAGTGTTTGTTGTGGGGGAGGAAGGGAAAGGAGAATGTTAGCCGCTTTGAGACTCCTTCGGGTAGTGATAAAGCGGGATATCAAATCCAAACTACCCCCCTTCTTCTTCTTCTTCTTCTTCTTCTTCTTCTTCTTCTTCTTCTTCTTCTTCTTCTTCTTCTTCTTCCCACTCCCCAGCGGGCTGTGATGCATCTAAAAGTTTACTGTAACAGCCCCGCTTGATAGACCTGATAGAAATTTATAACATGATGCACTTCATGGGTTTGGTGGGGGTCGTAGTCCGTCAGGTTGGAGAAGACCGCTCTGTTTGCAAACCCTGAACCAAGTTTCCATTGGTTCTTTTCTTTCCTCCTCTGTTTCTCTCAGCAG